GCCATAGATGTGTGTAAGTCAAGACTAGTGCTTATCAGTTAGGGAGGGGTGTAGCTTATAACATTCGAAAGACAGATGCAGATATGAGCCTTGAAAGCAATGCAAGAAAAGAAGTGGTTATTGTTCTGCGATTGCACCTACTCAATGAACACTAAATAGCTAATTTGTAGAAAGCTACCCCTCATCTAGAGACAAAAGACTTGGGAAACTGGGTAGGTTGAAAAGAAAAGACAAATGAAGATGAACAAATCTTGAGGTAAATAGCATTAATTAATATGTAATTATGAACTAATAAAATCATAAATAATTCTTGAGTTAAATAATTTGCTAGCCCATGGGGAGCTGGTGGCAAAAGTTGCCTCTCTGTTCCTGAGCTAGTTAATAGGCATCTAAACTGGGGAATACACCCCTTCTCCAGGCTGATGTTAAGGAATGGTCATCCTGAGCTTCTGAGAAAGAAGAAGACTGATGGGACAGTGAATCAGGGAATGACGCCGGGATCAATGACACATGAGGTCTGGCACTCAGCCCACTCACACCTGTAACCTTCACTCTTGAGCAATGCCTTCTGAACAGACAGATGCATACAATGAGTTCCTGGAGACATGTGAATATGCAGGAGAAACTGCAGTCTCACCCAGCGGAGAGAGATTTTTCACTCTAGAGGAAATCAAAGTGAAGAATTATGTGATGATTCTTAGATGAGGTGGACAAAAAATTCACCCTGTATCAGGGCTTGGTTATATGGCTTCCGTTTAGTTGCTATAAGAAGTTATCTCTCACACAATAGGGTTTTGTCTTTTGTGTGGAAATTACCATTCCTTCCAGCCAGTGGGAAGTTACTGGAAGATTGCTCCTCCCTCCTTAAAAGGACTGGTTGAAGAAGAGGATATTTAAAGGAGTCTGAAGATTTTAGTGGAGGAAGAGTAACCCCATTGTAACAGATCTTGACTCATTAATTAACAAGGAGAGACTGGAAGGGAACTTTTCTGAGCTTGGCACGCCCTATCTGGACTAAACTATTGTAATAGTGTTACTTAGACTGGACAATGCTGAATTTGAGAAATGTACAAATGTCCGACTTTTGAATGATTGTTGCCAAGGTTATAGTGAAAGGTCACATTTCTGTGGACGGGAGTGAGCTGTCTCCTGAGAGGAAGGGATAGTCCTAGTGTCAATCATCCTGGGGAGATATGATTCCTAGGAAGAGAAGTGAGGACATGAGGAGACCCACAGCAGAAGAGGGGGAAGGGGAAATGTCCCTGGAGGCCAAGGGTCATTTGGATCTAGAGTTGAGGTTCTCATTGCTGTGTGGAGTAGCATTCCCATGGGATTGAAATTAGCACCAAGTGCAAATTAGGTGCTTGCCATGGGTAAATAGGTGAGAAGGAGGCACATCGGGATTCTGGGATGGCTCTGCTAGTGGGCAGCAATGCATGATTTCTAATTGACTTTTGACTTAAACTTTCTATTATCCCCAAGGCCCCAGCAGTCTTTTGAAATGACCAAAAAGTCATGGTTGTTCTCACTAGTGTTCTGGGAAATCTGCAGAGCCTCTAGTCACACTGCGGCTATTGATCCTAAATAATATTCCAAACATGCTTCTGAGTTCATGTCCCATGGCAGAATTCATTTTTGTGCCACAAGGTCTACACAAATCTTTTACTTGTTTTTAATTCAAGCTTTTTTTTTTTTCATAAATTCCTCTGCTTTTTCTTGTAAGTTTGTCTCAAACCTCATATAGTTGACCTGGCAGTATTTTGTAGCAGTGTTTGAGGAAACCTACAGTTGCCATGTCACTGTCCAGGTAAGCCACCGAGATGAGTAGGTGTGTTAGACTAGCACCTGTTGGTGCTGAACTGTGCAAGGCAGCCTGGCTCGTGGGCCAGAGGTCAGGTCCCACCCCTAAGATTAGTTAGCTCTTCCATAGCCAGAGATTTCTCATAGGTCCAGAGTGAGAGTACTCTTCTTCATTATCTTGTTTGCTTTCTGCTGAATATGTTGCAATTCACCTGAATTCCTGAAGTTTTGTTCTTTAGTCTAAAGTCACTTCCCATTTTTGATCCTTTGTTATTGCTGCTCTTACCCTTCAAACTAAGAACATAACAAGGGAAAATAATAAATTGTTTTCCCATTTTGGGTCATTATCGTTTTAGCAGTGACTTCCAGTTGACTTTGCAGTTTGAGAGATAGGGTATTAAGATAAAGACAGTTCAGAAAACTCTTTATGCTTTATGATACCTCATGATGATTTAAAATTAATTTTATAATAGAAAGCATCCAGTTCTAACTACATCTAAACTGAAGCTCATATTTTTTAAAAAATCAATAAACTATTTAAAATCATAATTTATATGGGAAAAATATAAGCAAAAAAATATAAGCAATTTAATTTATCCTCAAGTCATATTTATGTTGTAATCTGTAAAGATTCTTCTTTATATGATAAAAATGCATTGCTTTTCATTGGGACTTAGATTAATATGCTCATGATGGACAAACAGGAAATTTCAAAATCATTACTAATACTACCTTCAGTTATTAATGTTCATATTGCACCTAGAATATAGCAATACAAGTTAAAAATATCCATAATATGTTTTCTTCCAGTTTTTCTAAAGTAGATTCTTACAGCTTTTATTTTGCAGAAGCTAAAAATGGAAACTCACAGCAATTGTCATATTAGTCATTAGGCTTAACAATATCCTCTATTACACAGCACAGTGAAAACAACCAGAGGATAGCAGTTTTAGAGTTTTAGTCTGTCAGAGGACAGTCCTAACCGGGCCAGACTCTTATAAATCTGAAGATAAAGTTGAAATCATAGAAAGACTAAGAATAGTTAGAATAAAGAAAAACACTTCAAAGTCTTTTATTCCCTAGGTATTAAAGCCATATGACAGCACAAATGGGTTCATATGTGCAAACTCACCAAAAGTGACAATTCTGTAACAGTAGCTACCCTTTTCACACACTGAATAGATGGTTCTCCATTTCCGTCAGGATGAAATTAAATTCCTCAGCAGGGTTTGTCATGAGCCACCTTTTTTTTTTTTTTTTTTTTTTGAGACGGAGTCTCGCTCTGTCGCCCAGGCTGGAGTGCAGTGGCGCAGGTCTCGGCTCACTGCAAGCTCCGCCTCCCGGGTTCCCGCCATTCTCCTGCCTCAGCCTCCCGAGTAGCTGGGACTATAGGCGCCCGCCACCTCGCCCGGCTAGTTTTTTGTATTTTTTAGTAGAGACGGGGTTTCACCGCGTTAGCCAGGATGGTCTCGATCTCCTGACCTCGTGATCCGCCCGTCTCGGCCTCCCAAAGTGCTGGGATTACAGGCTTGAGCCACCGCGCCCAGCCATGAGCCATCTTTCTAACCTAATTCCCAGCCACGGGAGTTCTTCATCTAACCAATCTGAACCAACCCCTTTCTGCTTCCTTAGCCTGGGGCACTCTCACAGGTCTCTCCGGAGCTTCTCATGTCCTGTTGATGTTGTGTTATCTTGGAGCATTCTCCTACCTTTTTCCTTTTCTTTGCTGGGCCTGTCTTAACATTTTGCTTCTTCAAAGCTTTCTCCAGCTAAGTTAGATAATCTCCTCTAAAATGCCTTAACACCTCAACCCTTCACTCTAACAGTGAATTCAAAGTGGTGAGGGAGGGAGATCGGTACTAGGGTCTCCTTTACTCATCTAAGTTCAAGAAAACCATTCTACTTGGGTTTCTGAGGGCTGGCTGGGGCTGGGGCTGGAAGCTTTCCCCGAGGTCATGCTGGAGGCACGTGGAGGATGGGAGGCGAAAACGCTGGAGTGGAGAGAAGTTTGGAGAACTTTCTCTGAGACTGGAAGGGCTCTTCCATACAGAGACCTCCACTGATGGGTGCCTGGGAGATTGGAACTGGGAAGCTCAACTTAGAGTGTCTGAGCCCTTAAAGCTGAGCCTCATGAATTTCAGGGAAGCCCCAGACTTCAGGGAATACATGGCTTAGACGATGAGGAGTCTATTAGACTTGAACCAGAGTGAGATGAATGAAGCTCATACCACCCTTTCATGATTACTTGGCTGTCTGAAATTCTTGACCTTGAAACTTTTGAATGGACCTCGAGGAGTAGCATCACATATCTGAGGGGAATTTCCTCCGGAATCCATAGGTGGGAGCTCGGGGGACATAAAAGTCAGTTTAGAGAGAAATAAGAGAATATCCCCCTAGTGTTACAAACGACATCTCCAAAAAGTGTAGCCTAGTGGGCTAGGAATGATTGCCTTTCGTCCCTTTCTGATTTGGAATTGTTTCCCATAGGAACTGGATTTTATGCATTTCCTTTCTTTCAGCCCCTCACACAAAGCTTGGCCGACTTTGGGCCCTGATAAATAGTCGTTGCATGATGTAGAATCTGTAAGCCTCGTTTTAGAAGGTTTCGTGTGGTAGATATTCCATTGACCACCTGAAAAACTTCATTTTGGTACCAGTAATTAGTAAACCAATAATTTACATCTAACTACAAAGTCGTTTTTAGAAGGTGCATATAAGTCCCCCAAACTGTCAGTTAATAGAGCACTGAGTGTAATCACTCGTATTTTGGTTGCGTAAAAATGGTTAGATTCGAATTTCTTATATTTGGTTTTAATTTCTGACATGCCAAAACCTGTTTATTCATGCCATTTGGCATAAATTCCTTCTGTCGTGTATTTTGTCATGTTAGTCAAATCTGGAGAGAATACTGTACATGTATTTTGCTTTAATCTGAAAACATTGGCAGAATTTGTTCAGACGTCGAAGGGCAGATCCGCTGATCCAATGACAAGGGTGTTCCTGGCATCCAGCAGGGCCCCTGTCGAGGCAGGGATCCCTGCGGGCGGATTGGGGTTCTGCACTGAGATGCACCGCGCAGCGCCGGCGATGGTGCCGCCCTGGGACGATCTGGCCTGCCAGGGCCTATCTGCAGGCCGGGCGGGGCGGCAGCGCCGCGGGGCAGGAGGGGCGTGGGAGTGCTGGCAGAGGGTGCGCCAGAGACCGCTTTCCAGAGCGCGAACGCCCCGGTGGCTGCTGGGGAGCAGAGGGGCAGGCTCGGGCAGCTCCTCAGCTGTGTCGGCGATGATAAAACTTGAGAAATATCAAGGAGTGGCCTCTCCGCGTCCTCTGGGTCCAATCTGGTTTCAGGAGTGAAGTTGCTCCCGGGCAGGCAAGCCTGAGAGAGGCCAAAGACACTTAAAGACAAGCAGCGGCGAGAAAAGCACCTCCCGCGCCCCACACCTCAGCAGGTCTCGCTCTCGGCACCCTCCCGGCGCCCGCGTTCTCCTGGCCCTGCCCCGCATCCCGATGGCAGCCGCTGGGCCCCCGCGCTCCGTGCGCGAAGCCGTCTCCCGGCAGCTGCTGTTGACCCTCGTGGTGAGCCAGACCTCGCCGGATAGGGCTGGGATGGGGACTGGGTGGATCCGCTCTGGACGCTGCGCGGAGCTGGGGCCAAAGCGGGCCAAAACGTGACAACCGCGGCTCAGATCAATGCTGCGGGTCTGGTAGCCGCCCCAAGTTCGGGCCTGCAGGAGTGAGGAGAGAAAACGCGTGCTTGCGGGTCGACTCTGGACTCAGCTTTTTTGTTTTGAGACACCGCGTTCGATTGGTGGAATTCTGAGTCGCGCTCAGGCTTCGCTGCGCTCTGGCGGGCGCCGTCGCGGGTTGGGCAGGGGGTTGGGATTCACGCTCCTCCCCAGGTGGTGGAGCTGCTGGTGGTGGTTGGAGGGCGCCTTTGGGTGGAGAGAGAGGAAGAAAGCTTGTTGGTCAGTATTTTAGGATCCCTGAGAGCTCAAAGCACAGACGGGAAATGGGATTTAGGGGCTGCCCCCTCCCCCGCTCCGGGTCCCAGTTGACCTGGATGGGTTCGTTAGTGTGTGCAGCCGGGGCTGTGTCCCTGGGTCCCTTTGTGGGGCTGCCCCTGAGAAGCGAGTTTCTCGGTATCTCCCCTAAAGGGTATTCAGAAGCTCAGGCATGCGGTCCACCCCCGCCAGCCTCCCAACCGGGGGCGGGATGTGCCCGGGGCGCGAAGGTGTGGGAAGCCTGGGCCAGAATGGGGGTTGGGGTTGTGTTGTGTTTGGGGGATGCGGCCGAGGTGGGGAGACGGGTAGAGAGTGACAGTGGTGCGGGATGATGGATGCAGTGGGGTTGGGGAGTACTTGGAGGAATGAGCGATCAGAGCACAGCCTGGGGTTTCGAGTCTCCGGAAACCTGCCGCCCAGGACCAAATCCTCTAGGAGAGGAAGTTAGAGACAATGCTCTGAGAACACGGGAGACTTGAAGTGTTCGGAACTCTGGCGGCGCGGCTGCACGCGAAGCTTCAGGCTTCAACAGAGTTTCATTCCGCACACTCAGAAAGGATCCGCGGACCCGCGACTTCCCCGCATCCACGGATGTGCATGGGGTCCGATGGGAGCGAGGTGTATAGTATCCGCATCGGCAGTGAGTCGAATCTGGTCTCGCGGATTCTTACTGCTTCCCGGCCCTCCACCCTGGCAAGTGGGAGTGGGTCTAAGGGTTGTCCTCCCTTTAGGTCAGCGAGATATGAATATGGGATTGGTAGTTATGATCTACGATATGTTTATGCAGAAGGAATTGGACAAATAAGCGCATCTATTTGCCCGGGAACTGTTCCGACAAAGTATCTGAGCTTATGAAATGACTACACATGCAAACTGCTCGCAAAATGTGTTCTTTTGTAACATATTTAAAAGCTTTTTCAGCTTTTCAGTTTACAAGCATGCATTTGGGGTTTTGTGTTTCCTTTACAAAGGGATTGAGGATGGGGAACGAAACTGCGCGTGCTACTCTCAGATTTTCTCGCATTCGCTCATGGCTTCTGGAGGCCATAGAAGACCAGGAGATGTCCTGGCAAGGCATGGGTGGGGGTGTCGGGCTGTGGCAAGGAAGAAGGTGCGCGTAAATCTAAATGGAGAAAGCTTCAGCTTTGATCTAGGACATACTGGTTTAAGATTAAAAAAAATAATAATTCCATTGAGTTTAGATTAAATGCTATATCTGGAGACTTAAATATCCGAAAGTGTACATAAAATGACAGTTGCTTTAATCTGCAATTGTCAATTTACAAACACTTGCAATTTCGGACCGAATGGGTAAATTAACACTTCTCTTGACCATCTCATGTCTGTATTTCCTTCCTTTTGACTCATAGGACTCTCAACTTTTCACTATAATATTAATGACATAGCATTTTAGAAACACTTTTCATTTTATAGAGACTTTAATGGGTATCTTTAAACCATTATTTATCTTTAAAACATTGCTTGTTCTAAGGAGACAGCTTTTCAAAGCAAGTCTTTAACAAGAATCTGAGACTTGTTAAATTTTAGTCTTCCCAGTAAGCAGCCCAACAGGTTGAGGAATTTTCCCATTCTGCACTTTTCCTGTATCTCTTTTCCACCCTGTGCCCCACCACACTCTGAAGTGTAAATACGATTTCTAATAATCACACGCACAAAGAAAAAAATGAGAGGGGAATACTAAAAGAGAAGTATATCAGAGCATCTCACTATTGTTAAGTTTTTGATTGCCTCAGAAAGTGTATTTTCTTCTTAATGTAACCAGAATTGTTAGGGATGGCGGAAACTAATTTTCATGAGATCAGTTGTCTTCTGCCTGTGACAAATAATACGATTCTTTTAAAAATATGTGTTGATACTGTTACGAAATCCACTTTAAGAATTATGTTATCTATTATACATTATAAATGGCACGTACTTGGACACAGCTAATCCATCGTTTTGTTAAATGGGCTCCTTTTCTAAAGGAACTAAAATAGTTGAAACATTTGAAATAACTCCCCTCAAATCTGTACTTTTCCTCTTTGGAGTATATGAACTCTGCCTGCAACCTATGTTGATAAATAGGCATCCAAATTTTTATATTTTATAGGGTTAATGTGAATAATGTGAGTCCTTACCAGAAAAACTTGTGTGATTGTTTTGCTCTTGATAATAGTTGATATATTCATCATTTTAAAATAAAAGGGAGTATAGTAATTTCTAAAGACTTTTACATTCATGAAAAGAAGATTATGGCAAGTAAAGGAAGTAGATGAAAACTAGTTTTAAAACTGCAAGCTTAAAAAAGTCAAAATTGTAGTATACATATATTTAGATTGATGCTTTAGATCTAAATATTTATTAGATATTTAGATCAGCTGCCTTATTAAAAGGAGATTGTTGATGTTCCTATTGAGATACAGCTAGATACGGAAGCACATTCTGAATAAATAAATGTAAACTCATGCACATTTTTTGGTCCTGTTGTAATTCCCATGTGGCAGTCCTGTTCCATAGATGGTATCTGTGGTGACCTGTAGTTAATCATACTTTCCATTGAAAGTATGATAGCTGGAATTCCCATCTTACAATGAGTTTGGATAGAAATAAATTTATTATACTCATCTAAGTACTGAGAATGCAGAGCAGTAAATCTTACAATTTACTTTTTGAAGTGGTAAGAACTGGAAAGGTAATATTTCCGTTCTGAAGAAGACTTATGGCCACAGGAGAGATGAAGAGTTTAAAATTCTGTAATTATTGTGTTCAACCCAGAAGATCCTCTTCACATTTAAGACATACCATAAATTTCCATTCTTTTTCTTCTTTCTCTACTGAAGCAGGGTGTCATTTTAGAAAGCCTACTTTGTGTATTTACTATAAAATTAAACACTAGCATAAAAGTGAAACAACTGCAGACAACACCTTTAATTTTCATTCTCTCTTTGGCATTAAATTTTTCAATCAGGATTTAGTGATTTGTCTGATAAGCTTTCTATCATGCAATTAATACAATTTGCTTAGCACTGTAAAATGCAACAAACCAATTTATTTTGCTTAGGCTGCATGCAGTAGGTAATACTTTACATTATCATTTTTAAGCTTAGTTTTTTATATTTTAATTTAAAATATGGGCACTCCTGTATACAGAAGTTATTTTTATTATAAAATAACTTTAAAGGTCATTAGTTCATCATCGTTAATATACTAGTGTCTTTACATTTTTTACTTTATTTTATTTTCAATAATGCATCCAAACCTCACAAAAACATAATCTCAATTGAATTCATAGTTTCAAGAAACATACTATAACTGAAGTCTATATTGAATATTATCCCTTTCAAAAGTTGTATTAATGAATTAACTGTACATTCTTTCTAATAATGTCCTATGTGGCAATGAAAATGAATGAACTACTGCTATATAGTTAGTAACTTTGAAAATATTAGTAATGTTCCATTTCTTAACCTTGAATGTGAGTACCCTAATGTTCATTTTATTATTTATTAAAACACGCACGTATGCTATATGTAATCTTTGGTATTTATAATATATTTTAGGAAGAACATTTTTAAAAAAGGAAAGAAATGAGCAGTAGAGGGTATGAACTAAACCAAACCTCTTGAGTATAGAGAAACCCTGCTCTAATTGATCAAGTAAAAACAGAAAAGTCATAGATAAAACAATATTAGAAATGAAAAGGAGGTACAGTTTTGGAGAGAACAAATGTTAAAAAGTAAAATAATAATATTAATAGATAATTCCAATTAATTTGAAAATACAGACAAAACAGACAACTTCTTACAAAATACACATAACCAACATTGACTTGAGTAGGTATATAAAATCTAAATAGACCTATAACCATTAAATAAACTAAATTAGAAGCCAGAGAGCTCCACACACACTTCTTTAGATCCACCAGGCCCAGGCTTATGACAAGTTAATTCTTTCAAAATTATATGGAACAGAGAGTCTGTACTTTCTGTAAATTGTTTCAAACAACAGAAAAATACAGTACTCTTCTTAACTCATTTTATGAGGATTGTATGAAGTTGAAAAATAGTAGCCTGATCTTACTTACAAATATGTGAAATGTTGAGATAAGTTGAAAGCAAACCAATATATTTGTAAGCATAAATATATTATGTTCCTATAAGGCTTATCTCAGGAAAGGAAGCATGGTTTCACATTAGAACATCTATTACTGTATTTTAACATAGTATCAACGGAGAAAATGTATCAACAGAGAAAAACTGATTATTTCAAAATAAGTGGAAACAGTTCATTTTAAAAGAATTCATATAATTCATAGTACATTCAGAATATAGACAATGAACTTTTTTTTTTTGAGATGGAGTATCACTTTGTCACCCAGGCTGGAGTGCAATGGCATGATCTTGACTCACTGCAACCTCTGCCTCGCAGGTTCAAGTGATTCTCCTGCCTTAGCTTCCTAAGTAGCTGAGATTACAGGCTCGCGCCACCATGCCCAGATAATTTTTGTATTTTTAGTAGAGATGGAGTTTCACCATGTTAGTCAAGCTGGTCTCGAACTCCTGACCTCATGATCTGCCTGCCTCGGCCTTCCAGCGTGCTGGGATTATAGGTGTGAGCCACTGCACCTGGCCAAGAGTGAACTCTCTTAATGTAATGAAACATATCTAAGAAAAATGAATGAATGAATGAATGAATGTTATAAGGAAAAAAGAAAAAGACTCATAATTAATGGCAAAATTATAAAAAATATTCTCTTTAAGTTAGAAACAAATCCGTAATGGTCAGTATAGGTGTTTCTATTCAGCATTCCAGAAGAGGTCCTAACAAGCATATCAGATAAAAATTAGCAATAATGAAAGACTTGTAGGATTAAAAGAAAATACACCTAATTGTCATTTTGCCAGCAACAGGATTAACTACATAGAAAATCCAACACTATCTATTGACAGATACTAGAACTAATAAAAGTAAGCAAGTTTCATGAATATAAGCTTAATATTTTTACGTGATTGTATATATTATCAAGGGACAACTAAAAATATGTTAAGAGGAATCCTATTCATACAACAAATCAATGTATCTAAGATAAATGTAGCAAAAAATGTGAAAGACCTTTATAGCAAAAATTACAAAGCTTTATTGAAAAGCAAACATAATTCAGCTGAGTGCAGTGGCTCGTGCCTGTAATCCCAGCACTTTGGGAGGCTAAGGCAGGCGGATCACGAGGTCAGGAGTTCGAGACCAGCCTGGCCAACATGGTGAAATCCCATCTCTAATAAAAATACAAAAATTAGCCGGGCATGGTGGTGCGCACCTGTAATCCCAGCTACTCAGGAGGCTGAGGCAGGAGAACTGCTTGAACCCCGGGGCAGACGTTGTAGTGAGCCGAGATCACGCCACTGCACTCCAGTCTGGGCGACAGAGCGAGACTCCCTCTCAAAGCGGGGGGGAGGTGGGGAGCAGCAAAAAGGAAACATAATTCATAAGTAATTGAGAATGAATCATGTTCATGGATGGAAAGTCTCAAGAGCCCTAAATATCAAATCCTCTTTAAATTAACATTTAAAAGAAATGGAATGTCATCAACATCCTAAAAGAAATTTTTACAGAACTTGGGCAGCTGATCATAAAATTGTTTTGAGAGTCAAAGTCTAAAAAGAGCAAAAATACTACTTTAAAAAAGAAGATTGAGCAATGGGGACTTTGAAATTTTTGAGTATCTGGTATACATAAAATTTTAATAAAGATGTGTCAAATAGAAAAACAAAATTGAAGCACTCTGTTTATCAAAAGATTTCGTAATAAAAGGTAAAAAGCAAACTATGTAAAGCTATAAGAAAAAAATAAATTTAAAAAATGCAAACTTAAGTGATTAAAGGAGAAGAATAGACAATTTACAGAAAATAAATGGCAAATAAACACAAGACAATACAGTCAATCTCACTGAAAATTAATACAATGCAAATTACAGCAGCCGTTAGGTTGCCAACATGGAAGAAGTCATAAAATTATTTGTAAGGGAGCATATGGGAAATAGAGAGATTTAATATGCTGGGGGCATTAATAGAAATTGATATTAGTACTTTGGAGAGCAACTTGGCAATAGCTAATAAAATTGAAGATGTTCATGTATGGCACAGTAATTTCCGCTGTAGGCAGTGCTGCTCACATAGCATCATTTGTAATAGAAGAAATGAAAAACAATCTAAATAACCATCAATAGAAAAATGACTAATAATAAACTGTGGTACATTTATGGAAAAATCTCAAACATACTGTTGGGTGAAAAAAGCAAATGGCAAAGGGGTGCATATAAACACATACTACCCAATACCAGCTTATATTTTACAAGCATATACTATATAATAAAAGTATAAAATCCTACTGAGGAAGTGTAAATTCTAACTTCTGAAAAAACTATTCCCTGGAGAAGAGTTGGAAATATAATAGAGCATAAGACTTTAGCCACTTCTGTAAATTTTGATTAAAAAATGGAGCAAAAATTGCAAAATATTCATTTTTTTTAAAGATCTAGATGGACACAGAGCATTTATTATGTTCTAATTGATTTAAATATTTCAGTTAGCTGAAATATTTTGAAAAGAGATGTGAATAAGTATATATTGGGCGTAGCGTTTTTTAGGATTCAAAAATAGCAACCATAGAGTTACAATATATTTCAGCCAATGGGTGGTTTGTTGAAGGAAACCATTTTTCATCCCAAGGTGGCAACTATATGCTTAAGGAAAATATTAAATTAAGCATATGTATGATTTTTTTTTTAAAGGGCAAACAACTTATTACTTCATTGTCCCAGTTTGCAATCTGGTTAGGATTTTCTGAAAATGATTTTTTGGCTTATTATATCTAAATTAAACAGCATTGTTACGTGTTGGCCCTATTTGTCCATATTTTTGAGATATTTTATTTATTCTGACTAATTCAAGTGAGGGTAAGGTGAATCTTTGAGAAGTACAATAATTTTAGATCACGTATTAGAATAATTTTGATAATGTATATATTTGTATATAGATATATTTACAGTTATGTTATGTTACTATGAGTTAAAATCGTTTAATTTGTGCAGAAATCTGTTTTATATTTGATTATATCAGAAATAAAATACTTCTTTGTGGTTATTATGGCATTTTATTGTGCTGAAATTAGTTCTGTGAATTTATAAATTTGACAAGGCCTTTCACTACCAATTTGTAGAAGTAACTGGAAGAGTCAGTTTTTGATCAACGTCAGTGTCCTTTTTTGTTTTAAACTGCATTATTGAGATATAATTTACATTTGTAAAATTCACCTTTGTTAAATGTACAATTCAGTGAATTTTAGTAAATTTGAAGAATGTGCAATCATTACTATAATCTGATTTTAGAAGTTTTTCATCACCTTAAAAATAAGCCTCATGCCCATTTACAAGCACTTCCCATGGAAATTTACTTTGTTCCTGCATATTTACCTATTGTGGACATTTTATGTAAATGAAATCATATAGTATGTGTTGTTTTGTGTCTAGTTTCTTTGACTGAGTATGTTTTGCAGGTTTATCCTTGTTGTAGCATGCATAGTACTTAACAAAGTAAATTTCATTGTATGAATTGTTTTCACTTTTTGCCTGTTGTGAATAATGGTATGTACTGTGAATATTCATGACAAGTTTTTGTGTGGACATAGGCTTTTATTTCATTTAGGAAGAGTGGAATTGATGGATTATTTAAGTTTATGTTTAACTTTTTGAGAAATTGCAAAACTATTTTCCAAAGTGTCTGCACCACTTTGCATTTCCTCCAGCAATGTATAGAGGTTTCAGTTTCTTGACATCCTCACCAATACTTGTTATTTTCTGTCATATTTATTTTAGTTATCCTAGCAAGTAGGTATTGCATTGTGATTTAGATAACCATTTCCCTAAAACCTAACGATGTTGGGCATCTTTTCATCTACTTTTTGGCCATTTTAATATCTTTTTTGGGATAATACCTATTCCAATCCTTTGCCCATTTTTCTGTGTTATTTGCCTTTTTATTATTGAGTTGCAGGAATTCTCTAAATACTTTTGATACCAGTCCTTTATTGGTTTGAAACTATTTTCTTCTATCCCATGAGTTATATTTTTCACTTTTGTAAAGAAAGTGGTATTTTTCTGGAGAGCAGAAGTTTTTACTTTGAATAAGTATTATTTAACAACTTTTCTTTATCACTGTGTTTTTGGTGTTGTATATAATAAATCATTTCCTAACCCAACATCATAAAGATTTGTTCTCAAGTTTACCTCTAAATAATAATTGTTTCTGGCATTTAAGTTCTATTCCATTCATCTATATATTTATTCTATTGCTAGTACTACTCTGTTTTGATTATTGTAGCTTTGTAGCAAGTTTTGAAATTGGTAAATATGTCTTTCAATTTTTTTTTGTTTTTCAATTTTATTTGGGTACCTTGTATTTCTATAAAGACTAATTTTCAATTTATTCAAAAAAGTTATCTGGGATTTTTATAGAGATTGTATTGAATCTGTAAATTAATTTTGGGAATGTGTATTCTGATCCATGAAGATGGGGTAGCTCTCTATTTATCTAGGTCTTCAAAAATTTCCTTCAGCACTGTTTTATGGTTTTCAGTGTATAATATTTTATTTCTTTGATGACCTTTATTCCTAAGTGTTTTATTCTTCTTAATACTCTACAAATCAATTTTCTTGCGTAGTTTTCAAATTTTTCAATGCTAGTGTACAGGAATGCAGTCACATGTTCATCTTGTATCCAGTAGCCTTACTGAACTCATTTATTTAGACAGTTTTTTAGTGGATTCCTAGGATTTTCTATCTACAAATTTATGTCATCTGTGAATAGAAACAATTTTACTTTTTCCTTTCCAATTTGGATGACTTTGATTTTATTTTCTTGTGTAATTTTCCTGGCTAGAAGCTCCAGTATAATGTTAAATAGAAGCATGGTGAAACCCCATCCCTACTAAAACTATAAAAATTAGCTGCTCATGGTGGTGGGTGCCTGTAATCCCAGCTACTTGGGAGGCTGAGGCGGGAGAATTGCTTGAAGCCGGGAGGTGGAGGGTGCCGTGAGCTGAGAGCATGCCATTGCACTCCAGCCTAGGCGATAGAGCGAGACTCAGTCACAAAAATAAATAATAAAATAAATATAAACAAAGAAGCAGTTAGAGCAGAGCAGACATCATTGTCTTATTCCTGATGCTAGAAGAAATAATTCAATCTTTCTCCTTTAAATATGAAGTTAGTTGTTGTTTGCCATAAATGAACTTTATCATATTGAGCAAGTCCCTTTCTATTCCTAGTTTGCTGGGGGTTTATTATAAATGGGTGTTGGACTTTGTCAGTTGCTTGTTTTACATCTATTTATATGATTAGGTTTTTTTAATCTTTATTTTCTACTGTATTAATGTGACCTTTTAAATTCTAGATCTTCAGTCTTGCTGGTGAAGCCTGCAAAAAGGTGATACTTAATGTACCTTCTAAACTAGAGGCAGACAAAATAATTGGCAGAGGTGAGACATTTTAAAAGTCTGTTTACAGCAGAAACGTAGTTTACATAGCCTGGAAAGAGCATGATATAATACCTTTGCCTTTTGGAGATAGCCTGAATCTACTAACAAGGGATGTCCCTCCAGGGAGTAAACCAGAAGTTATCATTCTGTTAAAAATGTGAAGATGAGAGAAATATGTCATCAGCCCTAAAGGTGTTTATTTTATTTTTTTGCTAAATGTTTCCACCTGTGACAGATTTAAATTAATGTGAAAACACGACTCATGGACTGAGCAAATGAATCCTTCGAGAGGTTGTTACTTATATGAGTAGTAATTTATCCATTTGCTTTCTGTTAAGACAAATAGTTGAAGAATGGGATGGATGACAGGTACATTTTGATGTTTATATGCATTTTATTACCCGTTACTAGAGGCCAGAAATCCCAGGGAAGAAAGACTCAATGTGGAATTTCAGTGTGGGGCCTTGGAAAGCTTGGAACACACAGAGTATCGTGGGCCTCCAGGGGAAATTGTGTACAGAAAAGTGCCAGTGGGAAGAAAAATTCGGAGATCAGACTTTTCTTATGTGACTCTTTACCAAACTCATACACTCCATCACTCTTTGGCTCATGACTTCTCACTAAATATAGGTGTATCTTAAACCCTCAGATTGTATTGTTAGGGAAACTCTTCTATATGTTTATTCAGGTGTGTTGGGGGCATGTAGCTAAGTTTTGTCATGATTATAACATGCCCACATCTTTAACTGGAAGGTCATTTTCATAAGTCTATTAGAAGCATATAAAGGTTTAAAACTTTATTTAATAAAAGGTTTATTTAATAGAAATATACAGTCGATAATTATTTTTTAACTGAAAGAAAATGATTATTTTTTAAGTAATGTAAAAAACAGGTTTAGATATCTGGTAAATGCAAAGTGATTGGCTGATTTTATCTCACTTCATGGTTTTTAAATAGATTATATAAATTATTTTAACACATTTTTTCTTCTCATGTGTTTCCACCTTATAACTTGGAAATTTTTACTTGCAGTTAATTTGGAAGAGTGCTTCAGATCTGCAGACCTCATCCAGTCAAGTGATCCTGATTTCAGAGTTCTAGGTGATGGGTCAGTGTACACAGCCAGGGCTGTTGTACTGTCTGATGAGAAAAGATCATTTACCATATGGCTTTCTGACAAAAGGAAACAGACACAGAAAGAGGTCACTGTGCTGCTAGAACATCAGAAGAAGGTATTTAAAGTACATTAAATATTTTCAGGCATTTTTTTCATTAAAATACTCTCATTAAAAATTGCAAAGAGAAACAAGGATAAATAGGGTATTTTCCCCTTTTGTTTTCATTTTGTTTCCTTTCCTTTCACTTCGCTTCCATTTTCTTACCCTTTTCCTTCCCTTCCATTTTTTTACCCTGTCCCTTTCATTCCCTCCCTTTTTCTTCTCCTTTCCTTCCCCTTCTCTTTCCCCTTCCCTTTCTTCCCTCCCTGTCACCTTCCCTCTCTCCCTTTTTCTATCTTTCTCTCTACCTCTCACTCTCTTGTCTCTCCCTCTCTCTCTTTCTTAACACTTGTTGAATTCTGGTTTTGGTTTTACTTTATTAAACCTAAATTATTTCTCCTCTGTGAGGGCTTCTTCTACCTCTAAATTCTAACTATTGTCTTTTGTGCACTGGTGTCGGTTTGATTATCCCTCTGTTATAGAATTCAGAATTTTTTTAATGCAAAGCCTTTACAGTGAGGAATGCCATTATGTAAGTAGTCACAAAATGATGAAAAGTTTAGACTGGATTACACCTAATCTGTGTTAACTGTATCAACAATAAAGCTAATTTAAGTTACAGCTTAGCACTTTGCTAAATGTTTAATGCAATTATTTATTAATTAATTCTCATGAAATAAAATACCTCCCTTGTTGCATCATGAAATGAGATGGACATCACTAAAATGTCTAATAGAACTTTCTCCCGTGATAGAGACGTGCACTGTCCGCACTGTTTGATATGGTAGCTCAATATTAATGGCTACTCTGCGCTTGGCATGTGGCTAGTGTAACCGAAGGATAGAGCTTCTTATGTTATTTAATGCCACTTAATTTAAATTTAAATAATCACATGACTTATGGTGGTCAAGGGCTACCGTATCGGACAGTGTAGATAGAGCACTGTGGCAGTGAAGGACATACATTTTCTTTGTCTGACCTAAGGGCATGAGCTTTTAACTAAAAGAACAGGTAAGTGCTATCTGGAGATTGTTGTAGAGAGAATGTGTTCTATATCTCTATTTGGGACAAAGCAAGAAGAGCTAAGCATATAATGGTGATTTTCCTAAGAAGAAAGTATAGTCAGTGTTAGAATGGTGTACAAAAAGAAATTCTCTGTTTCTTGAAACCTATAAAACCTGGATATATTCTTTCTCACCCTCCTAATGCAGAAAGACTTTATTAACTGGTCTAGCTTCAGCGTGGAAATGCCTGACACTGAACCTCTAAAGAAGGATTAGGTTTATGAGCTGTCCACTATTTTACATAAAGTAGACTGTGATGCTTTTGTTTATTTATGTATTTGTTTCTCTCTAAATTCAGGTATTGAAGACAAGACACACTAGAGAAACTGTTCTCAGGCGTGCCAAGAGGAGATGGGCACCTATTCCTTGCTCTATGCAAGAGAATTCCTTGGGCCCTTTCCCTTTGTTTCTTCAACAAGTAGGTTTACATCTTTTCTGATTAGGATTGCTTTAATTCTAAGAGTCTGTTTCATTGAGATTTAATACCTCTTTAAACATATAAAAATAAACAGATCTGATTAAAGATGTTCATGAGGTGTAACAAAAGTAAAATGAGAAATAAAATCACTAAAAACCTAATAATAGGTTTCCACTGAGAAAGGCTCTAAAGCCATTGAATGATCTCTATTTGTTTATTCATTCATTTAGCAGGGAGTTACTGAGCACTTACTATATCCTGTGGGAGGTACTGCTCTAGGTCCTAAAGATAGAAGTAAATTTAGTCATGGCCCTTGCTCTCATGTGGTTTACTGGTCTCGTGAAGGAGACAAAAGTAGGATAATAATTACAGCGTTTAGTGATGAGTGCTATATTCTAATATAGATCTGTTTGGTGATTTGGTAACAAATGAGATGAATATTAAACCCTGAGGTAAGGTGGTAAAAAACAAGAGAAGGCTTAGAGAAGGAGACAACTGAGTTGAGTCCTGAAGAATGGAAAATTTTTCTACAGGTGAATAACTGTAGAAGAAAAGGGAAGTACAGAAGTGAGAGCTCCTTAGAGGAGCTCTGCGTGGCTTAGGCTTCCGAGTTGTGATGGAATGGAGCAGGTAGATGAGGCTGAAGAAGGAGGTAGGGGTCAAACCACTATGGACTATGTGCATTCTACTAGTAAGTTTAACTTTATCTTAATAACAAGGAGAAATTCTTAAGCAGATTACTGACATGGTCAGGTTTACTTTTCTCATTAAGATCCAAATGGAACATGCACAACTGAAACCATTACTGAAGTAGGGCTATGGCCTTCTGCTTGCCTTTTTCCCCTTAAATTTCCAATAGTGTACTCGATATTTAATACTAATGGTGTAACCTGTGTACTAATTGTTTCAGTTTTTAACTATCCTTCCACAGTCATTCACACTTATTTTTTCTTCTACCCTAGTGCTAGACATTTGTTTATTCTCCATGAATATTATAACTTGAACACTGATGAAGCATATTAAGAAATGATTTCTAATTGCCAAAGCTGTGCCAATCATAGCTAGTTTTACCCTTTGCTTTGCAAAACCAGTCACCATCTTACTCCTCATTTCCTTGACATATTTACATTTGACATAGCTGACCTTTCCCTCCTTTTGGAAGTATTTCTTTATTTGGCTCCTAGGACACCATTCATCTAGTTTTCCACTTACTTCGTTGATCACTCCTTAGTAGGTTTGGTTGGATCTTCCTCATCCATCCTCCCAGCCCGCTGTCCCAGTCTCTAAAATTTGGAGAGCTCCAGGGCTCAGTCAATGAATCTTATCTCTTGTTTCTTGATATTTACTCTCTCAGTGATCTCATCAGATCTCCTAACTCTTAAGTACTATTTATACACTGAATACTTAAAACTTTGCATTTCCAGTCCAAACTATCTTTGCATATCCAGTCCAAAAAATGCTTGTTATTTCTCCTAGAAACAGCCATCTCAATTAGCAGAGTTCAATCCTTCTAACTCTCTGGGCATTGGAGTCTGATTCATAAGGTTTAAGCTGCAGAAAACATAGTTCTGTCTAAGTTCTTAACAGATAAGGATTTATTACCATTTATTAAAGAGTTTACAGAATTGTCCAGAGGACTGAAGAAACAAACTTTAGGTTGAACTTTCAGGAACAAATCCTCAAGCTAGCTACACTACAGAATCTACAACCAAGGGACATATTGCCTTCTCCATGATAGAGAAGACATTATTTCAAGAACCAAAGTGCCACTGGCACAGTGAGGAAAACACCATAGCCATATTCCTCCTCATGCAACTTCAGAACAGTCTCTGAACTGTGCCAACCAGCATCAGTGAAAAGACTGATCTGTATCTTATTTTGTAACACAAAGTTGGTGAATATCTAGTAGTACATATGCTATTGCAGAAAAGGAAGGAAAGAAGGAAGAAAGGGAGGGAGAGAGGGAGTGAGGGAGGGAGGGAGGGATGGAGGGAGAGAGGGAGGAGGGAAGGAAGGAAAGAAGGAAGGAAGGAAAACAAACGCATCTGAACTGAGATGTCAGAAAAAAATAGCAGAAGTAGCAAAAATGAGACACCTGCCTACCTCAAAAAAAGAAAGAAAGAAAGAAATGCAAACTGTGATGCCAGCAAAAATAACAGAAGCAGCAAAAATGAGACACCTGCCTACACATCTGACCATCCATGTTTAAATCCAGAACTCTGGTTTCAAGAGATTCTGCAAAATTTGGGGATTTTGGTTTATTTTTGTTTGAACATTTCTAGCATCTGCACTATGAGAAGACACTGTAGAAGGAAAATGAAACAGATATTGAGCTTCAACTTAGCCTATATGTCTATTCTTCTCATAGTTATTTGATTTCTGTATTATACAGTATTGGCATAGGTACATTTTACTGAAATCCCAAATAATAGTGGCTTAAGCAAGACAGAAGTTTATTCCTTTCTTGTAAAAGTGTGATCTGGTAAAAACGCTCTAATTTGAGAAAACACCAAGGACCCAGGTTTCTTTACTTTTTAGCTTGGCTGTCCCTGCGGGTTCCAGATGACTCACCTCTGTGTCCAACAGGGAGAAGACACTCTGTCACCTTCTAGAGCACAAATGGATTTTGCACATATCATTTTTGTTCGTGTTCCCTTGACCCGACCTTTGCATGTGGTTCTAACTAATTGCAAGGGTGACTGAGAAATCCTTTCTTCTGGGCAACCCTCTGATCACTACAAATTGGAATACTAAGGAAGATGGGAAGAATAGATATTAAGAGATACTAGCACCCTCCAACATAGCATCCTTGACTTCCATCTTTATACCACACATCCAATCCATCAACAAATTTTGATGACTGTACCTTTAAATTATGTCCAGAATCTAACCACTTCTCACCACCCCATGGCTCTCATGTTAGTCTAACTAACTACAGTCTCTCTCTGGGTTTTTGCAGTAACTTCCTCAGTGGTCTACCTGCTTTTTCCCTTACTCATCCAACCACATCTAGTCATGCTTGACAAAACAGCAGGTATTACCTTTAAGGATATAAATCAGATGATGTTACTCTTGTCTAAATTCTCCAGTGGTTTTCCATTTGACTCCAAGGATAAGGCAGCATCCTCGAATTCTCCAATGTGATGTGGCCCCTATTACCTCACTACCTCTTTATCTGCTACTTCTTTTTTCCATGCTCTTTCTATTCCAATCACAGTGACTTTCTTGCTACTCCTTGAACATGCTAGGCAAAACCCCGGCCTGTTCCCTTGCACTTCCTATTTTCTCTGCCAGAAAGATCCTTCCCTGTTTATCTTCATAGCTTATTCTTTTAATTTTTGTCAGTTTTCTTCCTAAGGTACATTCCAATTGGGATTCCCTTCTTCATATGAGAATCCCTGTTTGCCTTACCCTTGCCAACAATGGTTATTACTGTTCTTTTCTACCTTTTCTATTGAAATTGTCTGTTTAAAATGAAAAGATACATCAGCTGCATTTAAAAAAATTATAACTGAATTTAGTTTTAATTGTTTTCATACTTTTTTCCACTTTTAGGTTGAATCTGATGCAGCACAGAACTATACTGTCTTCTACTCAATAAGTGGACGTGGAGTTGATCAAGAACCTTTAAATTTGTTTTATATAGAAAGAGACACTGGAAATCTATTTTGCACTCAGCCTGTGGATCGTGAAGAATATGATGTTTTTGATGTAGGACTTTTATTGATATGCCTGACTTTAAATTATTAAACTATGTTTCTTCTGATGCTTACTCCAGCTACTCTTTCCTGTCTCCTTGCACTCCCTTCTTAGAGGGTATCTTAGAATCAAAGGGAAATAGAATGTGCAACATTTTGGAATACTTGGTCAGCTCTTTGTCTCAACTGCTGTTAGGTAAGCCTGAAATGAAGCAAAGAGGTTCAATACTGGAACGTAAATTTCAATGTATTTAGATGTAAATGTCAGTAAATTTCCAAACAGTTGGTTTTGCTTAGGAGATAATCTCTCTCTCTTTCTCACTAGTTACTGGCACCTTTTCCTCACTTCAAGGCATGTCTACAGTTGATTGGAAGAGTCCTCTTTCTATACTGCTCTTACTTCCATTTTTGTCTTTCTTCCACACAGATGATTATTTGATCACATCTGAGAACAACATAAGAAAGTGAAAGTGGGAGACCAAACTCAAATAAGGGTTAATAAGCCAGTATTCTGATCTAGATGAGCTTATAGTCAATGGGAAATAACTCAGATAATTTTCAGTATAATATGGTATATGCTGGGAGGTCATGTGTCATTCCTGTGATTCCGATGGAATGATTATTGGAAAGAGAGATTCTGTTCCTACAAAAAGAGAGAAGAGATGCTGTGTAAACAAACATGACTGATGTGCCCCCATGTGACATGCTTTGCATTTGCTTAGAAAATTTTCAATTCAGTATTGTAATCACATGTTGAATAGAAATATATTCTATTTGACATTACATTGCCTTTAATCAGCAATGGGGAAATTAGTACATGTATTTCGTCAGAAAAATTCTTACAAATATGTGGTCTATTAGGTAAAATAATAACAGCTCAGTAGTTACAAATTGGGCATTGCTACTTTATTTAGATAATGTAGTAGGAATTTTTCCCATTGCAGTGAGTTTAATTGTTCTCTCCAGCATAATTTTCTGATTATAGAGAGAATTTATATTCACATTTAATTCCTCAGTCTAATGGACAGAGTCAGCCCCGACTTCACTGTACTCTGACCTTGGTTTTACTTGCGATAGCCATTTCCACCACATACTGAATGATCTTTGCAGTAAAGTGTTTCTCCATTTGGTGCTTTGATAATTAAAAACATAGTGAATACAAAAACTTCAAAGTAGTTTATTATTGAAAAGATTTCAAAGCAGGTAGTAGAGAAAGCATCTTATTCTGTCTTGCCAGAATCTGATATTAATGGAACTTTCTTCTTGCTGTTTTGCAGTTGATTGCTTATGCGTCAACTGCAGATGGATATTCAGCAGATCTGCCTCTCCCACTACCCATCAGAGTAGAAGATGAAAATGACAACCACCCTGTTTTCACAGAAGCAATTTATAATTTTGAAGTTTCAGAAAGTAGTAGACTTGGTAAGTCTGCTTTTAAGAATAAAAAGAATCATTTTAAATATGTACATTTTAAAAGACATTGAGCTTTTTACACTCAAGGCCAGAGCAGCCTGAGATAGCGCTGAACTAGTATCTACTTACCAGAAAACACTTAATCCCATCACTTTCAATTAATATGTGCCTTACCCAGATAGTACAGAAGTTTTTGTCGTTGTCAATATGATACTAATTAACTGTAAAGGCAGCTAACAGTTATTCAAGCTTTGTATGATACTTAGTTTATATATTTTATTTCATTTCCTCATTATGTGAGTTTTTCATTATTCTCAACTCCAAGAGAGGACATGCAGGGTGGAATGAACAATAAAACTAAAATTGGTATGGTTTTTTTGGGGGAGGGGGGCTTTTATTTAGGAAGGTGTTAAATGGTTTCCACTGAGGGTACAATTTTTTTTTATGTTCCTATTCATATTCTCTTCTTTTAAAACTACTACCTCACTACTTCCAATTTAGAATGAATACCAGAATAACTTCAGAGAAACTTACATCAAATGTTCTCCATTCTAAACACTTGCTCTTACCTGTGGAAAACTGAAGTATTTTAGTTTACCTGGCCCTTAAAATGTGGCACTTATGATGGCTTCTGAGACTTGTAATGTGGAGAATAACTACTCACAATAAAGTTTAAAGGAGGAGGATTCAGTCATAAAGGATGACTTTGCCAATTTGCTTTTTAAAGTTTTCAGTAGTTGCTTAGATCTTCACTGCAATATTATATCTGCTTTTTCCCTCCATATTTTCCTTTGTTAACCTGATGTCATAGATGTTAACTTCTATGGTACAGTTTTAAAATTTTAAAAAAATTATTGGTTTGGAGTTTAGGAAACCTAGTTTTGTTTTTTTAAATAAATTTTATTGTGTATACACTATTGTGTGTAGTGAAGGTTTACAACATGATGTTATGGAATACACACAGATAATAAAATGGCCACTATAGCATAGAAAACATAGTTTTTGATGTAGGGTCTGTTACTAACTCACTGTGGAAACTCATGGAAGTCCCTCTGAAGTTTCTTACATGTAAAAGGAGCTCATTACATTAGATGACCTATAATGTTTTTAGCCTCACAATTCTATGACTTTACATTGACATTATATTGCCTTTAGTTAATTAGCAATGGGGTATGCTTTCCCTTTTTCCAAAAGGGGTAATTGGTTTCAGGCTTTCTTGAGGATTCTGTTCTCTTCCATAGTAACAGAGAAAAATAAAGGACAAACACTTTGATGCGCAGCTTAACCCAAGGTACTTTAAGTACATTTTATCAGTAGGTTCAGATCAGTTGAGGCTGTGATACTAAACTGGTTTATTAGAACAAATCAAATCAGGAAGTAGCAAAAAGATTATAGAAAGGAGAAGCTGGACTACTAAAGGTCGATCGATCATCTATATTATTACTGCATACCCCTAATCAGTCTTGATTTAGCTATCAATCAAAAGTCCAATTTTAAAAAAATCTGATTATTAAGGACACATGGTTTATTCCTCCAGCTAGGTTTGTTATTGAAATATGTGCAAATATGTATTCAAATTATTTTTGACTGCCATTTAACTAATTTCTTTAGTAATTTATGATCAAATGTGTTAAACTGTGAGCAAAACAAAAGTATACCTTCATTTTCAGCATCAGAGTATTTTGTGTGATAAATTTGAAGTTATCTTCATCAGTCCTATCTAAAGATGAAATAATACTCTGGTAATAAATACATTTTAAATTAGGTTTCCACCATCATTGTTAGCATTTTAAGAATTTTGAAAGCATATTTAGCAATTCTGAAGATTAAAGCCTCTTTTATTTTTTAATGTGTAGGTACTACAGTGGGGGTGGTTTGTGCCACAGACAGAGATGAACCGGACACAATGCACACGCGCCTGAAATACAGCATTTTGCAGCAGACACCAAGATCGCCTGGGCTGTTTTCTGTGCATCCCAGCACAGGTGTAATCACCACAGTCTCTCATTATTTGGACAGAGAGGTAGCTCATACACTCTGTAGAATTTCATTTCGCTGAGGATTAAGCTTCCCTCCCCCATTTATTATAACTTGCTATCCTGTAGATTAATAGTTTAATTTTATTTTAGGCATAAGACAGTAAGAATTCCTAACATTTTTTCTGTTTTTTAAAAATATTATTTCTATTTCCTTATGTTAGAGTAGCCATAAGGACTAGAAATGCAGATCAATTGGCATTTAGAAGGGATGGGAAAAGGAAAAATTTCATTATAAATTTTTTTTTTCTTATGTGTGGCTAGTTGGTTCCAATTCAGCAAAGGTCTCAATTTTCTTGTAGGACAATCAGTTTTGCTTGTTCTATGAGTGTAGATCATGCCCTGATTTCTACTTTAATTATTATAGATATATATATATTTTTAGTGGGAAAAGGATTAGTTGAAATAAAATTGACAGATTATTAAAAATATGTAACACTTTTTTGGATGATAGTAATAGCATATTGTCATGTATCTAGCACTTTATATATTGAACTTCTTAATGCATGCTTTTATTTGCCCTTTAGAATATTTTTGTTTGACTAGATAGGTGTTATATCCAATCTATAAAGGAAAAATGTGACAGAAACCTTGATTGACTTGCTCAAGTCAAATTATTGCACTGAATCTTATCTTTAGTTTTTATTGTTCTATTTTGTCAGCAATGATGCATTATTGACTAAGGCAGATGAATCAATTTTATATGCACAAAATAGCTTTATTAGACTAGTTCAATGTTTCCCACTACAACTAGAATAACTTATACAGAAGAGTCAATATCACTGGAAAATATAAGGAAGAAATCAATGGGATTTGATGACAAAGAAACAGGGAGGGATGGTGGGAATCCCTGAGAAGTAGTACAAACGTTTTAATTATCATTCTTTTTATTTTCTATGGGGCTGGAGCATTTTATGTTATAGATAAAATACATAAGGATAATAATAAGTGGGAAAGTTTTAAGGAGAAAATCCAAATGTGCTTTTGTGTCTGTGGAGTATGTAGAGATGATGTGGTAATCAAGTGAATAATCGAAACTTTGCAAGTTAACAGATTTTAATCATCACATTTTTAAAATGAAGTTTAGAAAAATTAAATTTAGGGGTCTACAACTTGTAAGATATAGTTTTAGGATTAAACCCAGGTCTGCTACTTTCCTGATGAAGAAAAAATCTACCAGGATTTTGTGGGCAATAGCCATGGAGCGTTGAGGGGAACAACATGAGAAGTAAAAATCATGGGAGATTTAAAAAAATGAATTTAGAGGAAGATAAACAGAATATCAGGGATTCTTAAAGCATATAGGAAGAGCGTTTTAAGTTGGGAATATTGGTTTACTTTCTTTGTTTGTATTTTTTTTTTTTTTGAGAGGGGATCTCGCTCTGTTGCCTAGGCTGAAGTGCAATGGCACAATCGTGGTGTACTGCAACCTCTACCTCCTGGGCTCAAACAATCCTCCCACCTCAGCCTCCTGTGTAGCTGGGATTACAGGACGCACATGGTCCTGTAAAAAAAAAAAAAAAAGGCTTATTTTTTTATTGTTTGTGGAGACAGGGTTTTGCCATGCGGCCCACGCTGGTCTAGACTCTTGTGCTCAAGCAATAAGCCTGCCTCAGCCTCCCAAAGTGTTGGAAATTACAGGCGTGAGCCATGGCCAGAATATTGATTTTCAGTATGGAAGGGAGTTCAAGTAAAATAAAGACTGAGGGAAGAGACAGAAGGAAACAAAAAATGAAGAAAAATAAAAGAATAAAAACGTGACTAAAGAATAGTAAGATAAAAGAAGAAGGCCACAAAGATGATTGTACCACAAATTAATGACTTCAATTCACTATCACCACACCATCTGCAAAATTTCATTGCCAAATCTAACAGCAACCTTAAGTCCCTGTCTGTTGCTGACACTTGTTAACACTCTCTCTTCCCTTAGATTTCTGGTCTTCCTCCTGCTTCTGTGATCTTTCCTTTTTAGTGGCCTTTGCATAGTCTTCTTATTCCCTTCATGGTAGGAATGCTGTAGGTCCTTATATCCTAGGCTCTTCTCATCTGCAACCTCTGCTGAATTGAATAATCTGATTCCTGCCATAATTTCAACCATCAGCTACATACTGATGACTTCTGGATAGACATTTCCGGCCATGATCTCTTTGGTACATATGAGGCCATATATCCAGGTGTCTTTTGGACTTTACTCCTTAGATTTCCTTTTGGCACATAAGATTCAACATACGCAAAACAAAACTCAGTATTTCTACCCCTTTGCCAACCTCAGTAGTGTTTACTTCCTCTGAGAATTGTTCTCCTGAATTTCCTGTATTGTTTGGGGGTGCCCCTGTCTTCCTATCTCTCCAAATGGGACACCTGAAAATCATTCTCCATCCCTTCTTTTTCTCTTGATTTGTATATAGAATTTACTGTTAAGTCCTACTCCATTTTAACTCCCAAGTAACTTTCCTGCCATCCTTTCTCTTTGTCCTCATTGCTATTACCTCAGATTTGGGACACCTGCCCTATTTATTTATTTGTTTGTTGTTTAGAGAAGAGATCTTGCTCTGTCGCTCAGGCTTTAGTGCTGTGGTGTGATCATAACTCACTGTTACCTCAAACTTCCACTCAAGGGTCCATCCACTTCAGCCTCTCAAGTAGCTTGGGAGTACAGACACATCACTGTGCCCAGCTAAACTTTTATTTTTTTGTAGAGATGAGCTGTATTGCCCAGGCCTGAGTCAAACTCGTGGCCTCAAGCGATCCTTCTACGTTGGCCTCCCAAAGTGCTGGGATTACAGGCGTGAGCCACTGTGCTGGCCCAAGCCATCTGTTTTAGATGATTGCTGCAGGCGAGTTTTAACTAATTGCTTAGATTTTTCAGCTTACTCCAAATTATGCCAAAACTTCCTTAAGAATATATTTTTTAAACACTCAAATGTTCTGGCCGGGCGTGGTGTCTCATGTCTGTAATCCCAGCACTTTGGGAGGCCAACGCGGGTGAATCATGAGGTCAAGAGTTTGAGACCAGCCTGGCCAACATGGTGAAACCCCGACTCTACAAAAATACAAAAAAATTAGCTGGGCGTTGTGGTGGGCACCTGTAATCCTAGATACTAGGGAGGCTGAGGCAGGAGAATCATTTGAACTCAGGAGGCGGAGGTTGCAGTGAGTTGAGATCATGCCACTGTACTCCAGCCTGGGTGACAGTGTGAGACTGTCTCAAAACAAAACAAAGCTAAACTAAACCAAACTAAAATGTTCTTATTTTGTGTTACCCCTACGACTTCCAAAAACCTTTTAGCTATTACCTGTTACTTAAAGCATAAGTACTATTTCTGAGTACGGGTCTTTGTAATTTATTTTTTATTTTTATTTATTTATTTTTTATTTATTTATTTATTTATTTATTTATTTATTTATTTATTTATTTATTTTTTTTGAGACGGAGTCTCGCTCTGTCGCCCAGGCTGGAGTGCAGTGGCCGGATCTCTGCTCACTGCAAGCTCCGCCTCCCAGGTTTACGCCATTCTCCTGCCTCAGCCTCCCGAGTAACTGGGACTACAGGCGCCCGCCACCTCGCCCGGCTAGTTTTTTGTATTTTTTAGTAGAGATGGGGTTTCACCGTGTTAGCCAGGATGGTCTCGATCTCCTGACCTCGTGATCCGCCCGTCTCGGCCTCCCAAAGTGCTGAGATTACAGGCTTGAGCCACTGTGCCCGGCCATGGGTTTTTGTAATTTAATCTCTGCCTGCCTCTTCAGTTTTATCCTTGTCTACCACATTGCTAGAGTCTGTGCAAATATGGAAAGCACAGACACACACAGATGTGTGTGCATGTGAGTGAGTGAGTGCAATTGAGGTTTCACTCATAAATCTAACAAAAATTTTACAAGACTAGTTAAATATTTGCTTTGTTTTCAGGTTGTAGACAAGTACTCATTGATAATGAAAGTACAAGATATGGATGGCCAGTTTTTTGGATTGATAGGCACATCAACTTGTATCGTAACAGTAACAGATTCAAATGATAATGCACCCACTTTCAGACAAAATGCTGTAAGTATATAATATCAAAATCTGCCTCTGTCTTGTCTGCTGTCATTTTTTATTTAAACTGAATTAATAAACTTAATACTTCATAAAGTATCATACTTTGAAGTATATATATTTTATGAATAAAATTAAAGTTTAAACAAATGATATGTAAATTTATTTTATTTATTCATATTAGTGCTCCTATTATCTCCCTTCTGTTAAAGGGCAGTAACATCAGTCTTCATTTGTAATGAAACTTCTTTTATTTACAAGATAACCCTTAATGAAACAATAGTGTTTATGATTCATAATTTTAAAATAATCTATATAAAATTATAATGGAAAGTATTTTTGGAATAGAAGAAACTTTTTCTTTTTGTAAAAGTTGTCTATAAAGTAAAATTAGTAAAATTTCAATTTTCAATGACTTTTTTCTGTTTCAGTATGAGGCATTTGTAGAGGAAAATGCATTCAATGTGGAAATCTTACGAATACCTGTAGAAGATAAGGATTTAATTAATACTGCCAATTGGAGAGTCAATTTTACCATTTTAAAGGGAAACGAAAATGGACATTTCAAAATCAGCACAGACAAAGAAACTAATGAAGGTGTTCTTTGTGTCGTAAAGGTACAGTAATGTGTAATTGACAACTTAGCAAATTAACAGATTTTGGTTAACTAATAATTTAATCAACTAGTTTCAGATCATAGACTCTGCAAGTTGGAAGAGAATTTAAAATCTATTTAAACCACTATTCCAATCTCATGCCTGTCTGTCTTCTGTAATTTTATTGCCAATTGCCAGTCACCTAGCTTTTGCTTGAACATTCTCATTTATAAGGATCTCCATAGCTCCACTGGCCACTTATTCCACATTTGAAATGCTTTGGTTCTCAGAAGTTCTTACTTCTACTGTGCCCAGGTTATTTTTCTTATAACTCATGTATTTGGTTCTGATTCTTCCTCTAATGCTATTCAGAACAGGTATAATTCTTTTGAAAAGGCTGCTATGTTCATTTGAGACTTACCTTCTGTAAGATAAATATTCTCAGTTTCTTAATTCTTACATGATGTGACATACAAGCCCATATTCTTCTCGTTTTCTCTATAATATATGCCTGGTTGTATTTGATCCTTTTAAAGGTGATATTCACAATGAAATTTAGTGTTATCTCAGACAGCAATGAACAAACTTATTTTTTGTTCAATATGTTGTATATTTGGTTGTGCTGGTACATTCTAGGGTCCAGGGTAGGAAGAGGGTAGGAAGGGATCTATTTGAAAAGGATTATTGGTTTTATACTTCCTGCCTAGAGCAAAACAAAAAATTAATATTGTCCTGTGGACAAGAATAGGGGTCATTCATTGAGTGAAAGAGGCTTATCTGCCAAAAATAGTATAGTGGCGTCTTTGATACATAAACACCTCTATTTGCAGTTATTCCTCCATAAAAATTTCCAAGGGTCATATACTAAGACTTGGCAAGTTCTGTCCAGATGTGAAGAGTCAAATATTGACTCTTGACATCAAACCTTCCTATTTCATTTTTCTATAATATGATCTGCTCAAATTGAATACTAAAAACCAAGTACTTAAAAAAACCACTATGCTTTACAGTTGACAGTAATAGGAAAGGAAATAAGAAAATACCGCTTACTGCTTTTGTTTTTTATTAGTCTAAATCAATCTAGTCTTTATTTGAGCTCTCCAGAAAGCAGAATGCAAGACAAAGACCTGAACATGGGTAGATATTTATGGAGTGGGTCCCAGGAAGCCAATGTTGAAATGGGGAAACAAGACAAGAAAGGAGGAAAAGCCAATCCAGTCTGTGTTATTGAGCTCGTCATCTTTGGTGTTCATCCATTCTAGAAACCATGTAGAACTTGCCTCATAATTATCCCCTCAAAGATGGATACTTGGGGCATTTACCCCTCACATCCCTTCTCAGTACCCAGACCCCACTGGTTGAAGGTTTCCCCCAGGGATCCTTAAATTCACCACACTTCTTGATTGGGCTGTGCCTGCTGTCTGCTGAAGGAGTCCTCTGGTTTTAGGCGGATCCTGAATCTGAAGAGCCAAATCTTTCAGTGCTTGAGATGTAAATCTGTCAGCACTCATGGGAACTGGCTGAGGGGCTGTGGTGTATAATTGTTCTGAAGAGGGCTACTGTGTATCTCGTACAGTTTTCAAGGCTGAACACTTAGGTAGTACAGGCATTTGTTTCGAATTGATGTGATTGCAACAGATGTTTTGTTAAGTGTTCTCCTGGACACCCTTCTCCCCTCTTCCTCCTGATGCAGGCGAATCCCAAAATTGGGCCTCAGCCCATCCCTGGCTTCACCCAGAAAAGAATTTAAGAGCAAGACAGCAGAGTAAAGTGAAAGCAAAGCAAGCTTATTAGAGCAACAGACAAAGGAAAATGGTGACTCCACAGACAGAGCTGGGCTACTCCCTAGGCAGAGTAGCAATTGTGGATTGCTGACTAGCTCTATTTATAGCTACTCCTTAATCATATGCTAAATAAGGGGTGGGTTGTTAATGAATTTTCTAGAAAACGGGCAGGAGTTCCTGGAACTGAGGGTTTCTTCCCTTTTAGATCATATAAGGTAACTTCTGGACATTACCATGGCATCTGTAAACCTTCATGGCACTGGCGGGAATGTCTTTTAGCATGCTAATGCATTATTATGAGCATATAATGAGCATTGAGCCAACTAGAGGTCTCGTTCATCATCTTCTTGGTTTAACTGACTGTGGCTGGTTTCTTGACTGCATACTGTTTTGATGAGATTCTGTTTTAATCAGCAGGGTCATGACTGGTGCTCAGAAAACAAGTCCTGCTGATCACCTACCTCACCCCCACCAAGCCTGGGTGTCTCCTGTAAATAAGTCAAAGGAATAGTTTAAGATTTGGGAAGGGTGGATGATGCTAACTACAGTAGCTTCTGTCAGAGACCCAAGCTGACCTTTTGGTATGCTGTCTATCTGTTCCTTGGTCAGAAGGCAGCTCCTCCAGTCTCTCTCAAGGCCGTTACTCAAGAGCCATATGGAGAAACTCTATTATTATCATTATTATTTAATATCAGTGGTTTTGTCTTGCTTAGAGGAGATAAAATTTAAATACCATTAGGAATTAAATTTCTGTTTGTAAGTTTTTTTGACCAATACAACATGAGCTCTAGTAAATTTTTTCAAAAGAATATACTCTAATTTTTAAAAAGGCCTAATCAATGAGTATATGTACTCAATGGTCTTTTGTATGTTTTTTTGTCCAAGGAGTTCTGACCATAGAGGTATTAAGAAAATATTTCCAAAGATGATTGGAAATTATAACCTATATCATGAAATATTTCTCATTCCATGTGACTGATACGCATTTGTTTCATTTCTGGGTAGCACTCCAGGATTCTCCAGAATGGGGAGTAGTTAGATAAATAATACTTTGTTTTTGGTTCAGATTAACCTAATTTCACATCTGGAGAATATCAAAAATTTCCCTAATACATTTATATACGTTTGCTTCCACTATTTTAAAACATAAGATAGTTGCCCTTATATTTGATATTACATTTTAATTTCTGCATTAAGGAAATACTTTTAATATTTTTAGAATTTTAAAAGAAGTTACCATGAATCAAGTTCCTTTTATGTCACAGAAAATGCTAGACACTTTACATAAGTTGTACGTGGTTTTCACATCCCCTATATGACAAAGTGTTATTATCCCTATTTTACATTGACTAAAAAAAAAAAGCAAACCCCAAAAACACAACAACCACCTAAGGCTGATGAAGGTAAATAACTTCCTCAAAGTCAAGCATATATTAACTGTCCACCCTGGAGTACAAACCTGGTCTGTTTTGTTCCTAAATTAATTATCTTTCCATTACCGTGTGCCATGCCTCATTAAGCCCACATGGCAGTTTGTATTCAGTCTGTCACAGAATCTATTATATCTGCAGCCCCTTATCATGAAATCCAATTATGTTCTCAGATTCATACTTCATATTAAATGCAAATTAACAATAATGGCTAACATTTGTTATTTACTAAATGCCAGACACTATGCCAAGTGCTTAACCTGTAGTATCTCATTTAGTTGTTTTAAATGTCAATAGATTATTTATTACATTTATTCAATAATAAAAATAATAATTTTAAATTTTTCAGTAAGCAGTTCATTAGTTCAAAGTTCAAAAGAACAAACAAAAAGCATGGTGTAAAACGTCTCACTTTTACTTGGTCTGTCAGCCACTCAGCTCTCCTTGGAAGAATTAATACATGCCACCTGTTTCCTGTATATTATTCAAAAGATATTATCTATACACACAAACATGTTTAGGTAATCTTATCATGTTTCTTTTTTAAAGATAAATACATTTTACTTCAATTAGCATATCTCTTGAGTTCATTACATATACATTGGTAATATTTCATGATATGGTATGGACATATCATATTTTTTTAAGCAGTTCCATATCTATGGACGTTTAGACCACACCCATGGATATTCTGTATTCCTTATTCTGTGCTCTTCTTCATTCAACAACCTTTCTCTCAAGTCATTACACATTGGTATGTAAATAGCTTTGCTATTTTTTATAGTTATCTATTTTAGACATTACAGTAAAATATCCATCATATGAATGTAAATTATTATTTAACTAGTTCATTATAAATGGAAATTTAGACCATATCAATTGAAATTCTAATTTATTTTCATTATTTCAAAATATACTACAATGAATATACAACAATTTAAATGCAGGATAATTATCTAGAAATGGGATGGCTTAGTCAAGGACATGGCTGTTTTTTCTGTGGTGGATTTATTGCCTGATTGTCCTCCCGAGAGGTGGTGCATGTTGACATGCTCACCAGAAGTGTACACACATGCCTGTTGTAAAATAATTGCCAATTATATTTTCAAGTTTTGATATTTATCAGTCAAATAGCAAAAAAAAAAAAAAAAAGAAAACGGTGTTTCAGTGTAGCTGAGCATTCCTTTTATATGAAGACACCATTGAATATATTTCATATCTTCAAGCTCACTAGTCCTGTCTTTTAGCCACTTTCTATGTTTTGCTCTTCTCATCTATTAACTATTCATTGATAAGAGTTTTATGGTAGGAAATATTTTTGCAAATATTTTTACCCATTTTTATTGTTGTGTAAGTTTGCTTGTGTTGGTTTTTGACCTCTAGGATTTGTTTTGTTGGCAGGGTTTGCTTGTTCAAGGTCACGATTTATCAGAGGCTTCTATGGTTATGAGATTTGTGTCATTATGATGGTATTGACATTATGAAAGTATTTTATCTGAAATTCTTCTAATTTATTGTTGTTTAATTATCCATCCAGTTAAATTTTTGATCTGTATGAAATTTATCCTAGAACAAATGTGATATGAATTCAATTTTAGTTTTTCCATCTGTTCCAACACAATTCATGTTTTGACATATTTTCATTGTCATAAAATAAGATACATGTATATTTGAGTTTGTTCTTGACTTTCTCTTTTGTACCATTAATTCATTGTTTATTAATTAGCATCTATATGCTGCTGTATTATTGCTAGCTATTTAAGAATATCAAATATATAATATGCATTTTAGTATTTGCAGTGTTCCATGCCATTCTTACCTAGTGATCTTCCTTTGTGGATTTTGTTCTTATGAATAGCTTGCTTGTTTGTTCTTCCATGTGAACTTTCAGATCGGCTCCCAAGTTTAAAAATATTCCTTTTGATGTTTTTACAATTATATTAATTTCGTAGAAAGAGTTGGGGAGAATTAGCATTTTTCTCATAAGTCATACCCAAGATCATAATTTCATTTTTTCAGCTGTTGTGTCTAATATCTGTCTAGGATTTACATCCATATCCACAAAAATGATTTATCCATAGTTTTTCCTTTTGTATAATTGCTATTAAGTTTTTACTATCAAGTATTTGCTTGCTTCATAAAAATAATTTATTTTCCTTATTTTTTTTCCATGCTCTGAAACAGTGTCCCACAAAACCCCCCAAAAACATTGAATTAAAAGATTTATTCATCCTTCCAAAACAAGCCCATGTGGTTATTACTCTCATTCTTCTCATTTGCAGATGAGTAGACTGAATCAAAGAGAAATAACATGCTGCAGCCCATACAGCTAGGATAGGTGATTTGTACCCCACAATCAGGTGTTGAATGTCCAAACTATCTAGGAGAGATAACTCTGTTCGTACATCCAAGATACAAATCCAGATCTGTCTGATGCAGAGCTCTTACTCATAATTCCCGGGCTATTCTCCTTCTGGCTTGGTATCCTTGCTTCCCTTATGTCGCCTCTTTTCCATACCTGAGTTACTTAGCTTGATAAAGCCATAACTTCATTTGCACAAGAGGATCTTCTCTTTTTGGAACCTTAATTCATTTCTACTTTTGGGTGTTTCCTTTTTAAATTATATTCTTCTTCTGACATTACTAGCTCCTTTGCTAATCGTACCTTCTCTTTTCCTTTGAGTCATTCATATTATTTGCTAACATTTTGATTAATAAAAATTTGCTTTTGCCATGTTATGTTATCCTTTTCATATTTTATCCAAACCCTTAGAAAAGCTGAATTATCACAGGGCTCCTTTGATAGCCATGCTAGTCTTTGAAAGTATCTTATTCCTTTCCTTGGGAAAGAGTTGTGATTGTGTGGTTAAATCATGTCTTTAAGTACTTTTTTTTTTGGAGATGGAATCTCACTCTGTCTCCCAGGCTGGAATGCAGTAGTGTGATCTTGGCTCACTGCAACCTCTGAATCCCCACCTCCCAGGTTCAAGCAATTCTCCTGTCTCAGCCTCCCTAGCAGCTGGGACTACAGGCACACACCTCCATGCCCGGCTAATTTTTTGTATTTTAGTAGAGATGGGGTTTCACCGCGTTGTCCAGGCTGGTCTTGAACTCCTGAGCTCCGGCAATCCGCTCACCTTGGCCTCCCAAAGTGCTAGGATTACAGGCGTGAGCCACCGCGCCTGGCGTCTTTAAGTACTTTTTAATCTCAGTGAGTCACCTTTTATTTGAAAATCAAACCCTATATAATCAGGGTGTTCAAAACCCATCTTTCTGTCATGTAGGCTATGTACCTAATGATAAGTAACCTTTTGCATACTGATTAAGGAATGACATCACTATGTTGTTAACTCGAAAGGAATCTTCCTCTTCCGATGCCCTGGTTCTTCCTTGCTAGTGAGAATTGTATTCAGGGACAGAGTGCACCTTATTCATTCCTTTATGCCTCAAAGAATTAAGTAATCAGTAGGCCAAACCAAGAATTGCTCTGGTATACTTCTTTTAGCGGAATAAAGTTTGCAAACATTTTCTTGTTAGTTAGCGTCTCTTTTTATCGCATTACATTGGCTGTTAACAAAAACATACATCATTTACTGCCTTCATTTGCCTCTGCGACAGCTTGAGAGATTACTCAGAATTTAGTGTAAAGCACTTATTTTATGCTGTAGTGTTAAATGTCATTCTTACAACAATTTCACAGAAAAGTTAAAGAGACTAAATAGCTTTCCCAGTGCCACACAGCTAGGATGTAGTGTAGACAGAATTTGAACCTAGCTCTTTGACTCTAAGTATACGCTGTCAAGCACTATGTTAAATTGTTTTCCACAGCTGTGTGATCTTGGAAAGTTAGCCTCTGTGTTATCTGTAAAATGGGGACAATACTTCTCTCTGCCTCCTTAATAGCTTTTCCAATATAATATTGAATGTAAAAGCGCTTGGTAAACTGTAGGATATTATTATTTTATTTTTAAAAGTTATACTATGTCCTTGAGACTAGTGTTATACTGTTCCATAATAGATAACTTTTCTGTAACCACAAAGCATGAGTGACACGGCCTTTTGCTGAGTTCTGGGTAAACTCATTCCATCTCCGTGGCTTCTGTCCATTTGAGCAGCAGCAGTGACGCATGTGGGCTTGAGTGAGGATGATATTATTCTTGGTCATTCTCAACATGGAGAGTCCTCAGCTCCATTTCCACAGCTATCCATTTTCTAGGGAGTTGTCATCTCAGTGCAGATGTGGGATATTTTTAAACACTTTTTTTAAATGGCGAAACAAAAACGTACCCTGAGGTGGAAAAGAAGTTACATCCTTTCCTATTAATTAATGGGATTAACTAATCTCGTTCATCTTTGGGATTTCATCTCACCAGATTTTTAATTTTGGAGAGTTTTAAGCTACTAAGACAATATCCATCTTAAGGGTTGAAAAATGGGACAAAGAAACTTCAAGGCTTCAGTGAGTGTTTTCGGATCGAATAGTTGCACCTCCTCCAGTGCAGCCACTGTTCTCTACATTTCCATCCATTTCTCATTGCCAGCAGTTGCTCTTACTCTCCATGTGATCACACCAGCGCATGAAATTTGTGAAGCAGTGTTCATCAGCACCAAATGAACAGATATTAATATTTTTTTCCTTGACTTTCCAGTTTCTGGGATACTCAAACAAAATAAAAAAGATTTTACATACATTTTGTAGATTCTAAGATTCAGAAACTTTCTTTTTAGTAGACTCGTGATATTAGTGTCTTACTCCGTTAATACCTAGGTGTGGAGAAAGATCTAAAATAATTTTATTCACCCATTTTGATTATGTTCAATGTTTAGCCAGTGATTGTTCTGATAAGCAGAAAGAGAAATTGAAGAAAAAGTGCTTCAACTTTATAATACAGTGTAACATAATGTTTTATGGGTTTAACTTGATTTGTTATCTAAAACTGAATTTAATCAAAGATTGATTTGAAAATCTTTTAGAGACCAGTGAGCCAATTAAGCAGCACACGATAGCATAGGGATTATAGCATGGGCTAAGGAAATGGGCTCAGGTCAGCCTACCTGGCTTCAAACTCAAGCTCAAATGATTATCTTTTGGCCTTAAAAAAAGTAAGTTTAACTCCTTTTCCCATTTTCTGCTCTGTAAAATGAGGATGAGGCCAGTAATACTTAGTTCATAATGTCATGAGGATTTAGTGAGTTTATTTTCACTGTTAGAGCAGTGCCTGAGATTCAATGTCATTGAAATTAATCACATTGTATTTCCCTTACTCCTCTGTGTATCCACTGTGAAAATTTCATCGGATGAATTATAGACAAAAGCAAAGTATAATTCTCAAATTTTCAAAAATTTAATTTTCATAAAAATAGGTAGTGGGCATGGATGGATAAAGATTTTAACTCATTCATGAAGGAACCAGAAAAAAGACAAGTTGATTCCTAAGAAGAAATGAGCCTCTGGATGGATTTTGATAAAAGCAAAAGCAGAAATTAGATGGCTCAGTTAGATGCCTTAGAGGGCAATTATAACAGACATCTGGGCCCGGGCATGGTGGTTCATGCCTGTAATCCCAGCATTTTGGGATGCCAAGGGAGGTGGATCACTTGAGTTCAGGAGTTCGAGACCAGCCTGACTAAGATGGCAGAACCCCATCTCTACTAAAGAAAAAAATACAAAAATTAGCTGAGTATAGTGGCACGTGCCTGTAGTCCCAGCTACATGGGAGGCTGAGGCAGGAGAATTGCTTGAACTAAAGAAGTAGAGGTTGCAGTGAGCCAAGATTGTGCCACTGCTCTCCAGCCTGGGTGACAAAACAAGGCAAGACTCTGTCTCAAAAATGAAATAAAATAAAATAAAATAAAATGAAATGAAATAAAAAAACACCCAGACATTGGGGATATCTTTTCTATGAGACAGAAAATGAAATCATTGCACCTTTTGGTTTTGTGAAAGTCAACATCAAACTTTACAAGAGTTATAAAATGCCTGGGCCATAGTCAGTAGTAACTGATAAGCCAAATAAAGGCACCTTCCCATACTCAGGTGACCCTTAGCCCAGCCTGTTAGACAGTGCTCCAAGGAGGGCCATAAGAATACTGTCATCTGTTTGCATTAGTTTTTGAATCAGAATCATTTTCCTTAGTAAGAGTGAAATATAAAAATACTTCAGGAATTTCTTTTGTCCAACTCTGTAAAACCACCTGCAGAAGCTTTTGGACCATTCTTGGTAAAGGCTTAGCACAGGATCCACTCTCTTTCTAGCAAGGGATAAAACAGTGTTAACAAAATGTGAACATAGAATTTATGCATCACTGATCAGAATGACAAATGTTCATTTGCCTTTTGAAATACCAAATGTATTTTACACTGATAATGACATCCATGGACTTTATTTTAAAGCCACTGAATTATGAAGAAAACCATCAAGTGAACCTGGAAATTGGAGTAAACAATGAAGCACCATTTACTAGAGATATACCCAGAGTGACAGCGTTGAACAGAGCCTTGGTTACAGTTCATGTGAGGGATCTGGATGAGGGGCCTGAATGCACCCCTGCAGCCCAATATGTGCGGATTAAAGAAAACTTAGCAGTGGGGTCAAAGATCAATGGCTATAAGGCATATGACCCCGAAACTAGAAATGGCAATGGTTTAAGGTAAAAATAAATCTATAACCACATACTAATAATGTATTTGTAATCATTGAGATAGTAACGTATTTGAAAACATTTTCTAATGCTAAAGATTATTTTTTTTTTTATTAACAGGTACAAAAAATTGCGTGATCCTAAAGGTTGGATCACCATTGATGAAATTTCAGGGTCAATCATAACTTCCAAAATCCTGGATAGGGAGGTCGAAACTCCCAAAAATGAGTTGTATAATATTACAGTCCTGGCAATAGACAAAGGTAAAAAAGAAGTTTTAATCTGGTATTTTATAAAGGAATTAGAGAATAAAATATAATTATGCAGTTTTTTTGGTGGTAAGTATATGGAATTCTTTGAAATTAAAGACTCTTTCTGTCTCTCTTAATTATCTAACAAGGTGAAACTGGTGACAAGAAGCCATGTTTTATTTATCTTTATATCCCCAATAGGGCAGGACCTTATATTTTTATATATTTCTGTGCTAGAGGACAAAAATAAAACTGAAATCTAAAACTAGATAAAATGGTCTCATCAGTCTTCCACATCTGTTTGTGTCACTTTAAATTGAGCTTTAAATTGAACTATATGTTCAGCCGAATATTACGTCAAAGTGATCCTTTTCTTGAATTCTGTTCCTTAAAGTAACCCAGAGTTTTTCAACCTTGTCTTCACATTAAAATAAAAAGAATACTCTGTAGATACTTTGTTAGAATAACTGAATCAGAATCTCTGGTTGTGGAGCCTGGGAATCTTATATTTAAAAAAATATCTTCCTAGTGGTTTGAATATATCCTGGGATTAGAAATCTTATCTGTAACCACTTTACTGCTCATTAACACCTGGCACCTGGAACCCCCAAAAATAGAGATTGAAATTGAGACATTTATTTTTATTTGGTAGTAATTCTGGTAAAAGATTTATTGGCAGTTGTATCTGATATTATCAGTAGCAATAGTCCTTTCAGACTAGCTGCAGATTCTATTTATCCATCTATATTCTTATTTATTTATCATTTCCTTTAATAATCACTTTATTTAAAAACAGATATCATATATAGAATGAACCTGGGAGGCGGAGTTTGCAGTGAGCTGGGATTGTGCCACTGCACTCCAGCCTGGGCAACAGAGCAAGACTCCGTCTCAAAAAAAAAAAAAAAAAAAAAAAAGGAATATAATTGAATTGACTTTTTATTCTTTAAGAAACTATAAAATAATTTTAAAATAACACTAAACCTTATTCCTCTGTCGTTAGATAATAGGTCATGTACTGGAACACTTGCTGTGGACATTGAAGACGTAAATGATAATCCACCAGAAATACTTCAAGAATATGTAGTCATATGCAAACCAAAAATGGGGTATACCGACATTTTAGCTGTTGATCCTGATGAACCTGTCCATGGAGCTCCATTTTATTTCAGTTTGCCAAATACTTCTCCAGAAATCAGTAGACTGTGGAGCCTCACCAAAGTTAATGGTATTTAAAAAAAAATAATGATTTATAAACTCTGAAATAACTGAGAATAACTGGAGGATAGATTGACTTGCTTACTTACACAAAGCATGAAGTAAAACTGAGTCTCATTAATATATTTTAGAAGGATAAACTAACCTTTTATAAATATTGTATGGGGGCTCTGTTATATATAAAATGAAAGAAGTTGTAATTTTTATGAAGGCAAAATTTACATTTACAACAAAGAAAAGCTTTGTTAAAATGTTGGGCAGCTTATCATTAAGACAAACTGTGTGTGTATGTGTGTGTGTTTGTGTGTGTGTGTGTTTTTAAAAATAATACCGGTGGCTGGGCACGGTGACTCATGCCTCTAATCCCAGCACTTTGGGAGCCCTAGGTGGGTGGATGACTTGAGGTCAGGAGTTCAAGACCAGCCTGGCCAACATGGTGAAACCCCCTTTCTGTTAAAAATACATAAATTATCTGGGCGTGATGGCGGGCACCTGTAATCCAAGCTACCGGGGAGGCTGAGGCAGGAGAATCTCTTAAACCCAGTAGGCAAAAGTTGCAGTGAGTTGAGAGATGGTGCCACTGCATTCCAGCCTGGGGCACAGAGGGAGACTCCATCTGCTCTCTTCTCACCAGTGAGGTGAGGAGAGAGCAGAAGATGTGTAGTTTAAATTGTATTGTAAGCTGACTCTGGAAGTGAGGAACTCAGGTGTATAGACTAAGCACTCTAGGGTATCCTGGAAGTGAACTTGGTGGGATATGGAAAGGGATATGAGAAGGACTGTTGAGGGGCTGCTGCCTATTGTAGCAGTTTATGGGGGGTGTCATGTTCTGTACTTCATCGATACTTCACTCTGTTGTTACTGCCATGTTCTTTCATGCAACTGGGCTTTTGTGTGTATAGCCCTATCTACATAGAATACCTCTTTTTCCGATTCTTAGCTTGATATTTATGAGTATGATATTTTTTCATGATATTTATGAACACCTACTATCTATTAAGCACTAGTCCAGATCCTGAGGATTTATATACAGATGAACAAGACAGACACAATCCCAGCTGAGATGCTCCACCTCTGAAGTTTGTCTTGAATTGGAAGGAGTGGCACCATGACCCTTTGTTATTTGTATTGCAGTGCCTTTCCTGTTGTATTAACATCTGATTACCTCTCCCTTCCAATACATGAGTTTCCTAGAGCGTTTGCAATTCATCTTTGTACTTCTAGCACCTAGCCTAATGCTTAGTAGATACTAACTGCTTCATAAATGTTTGCTTGTTCAATAATTGATTAATAATGTGCATAAAAGAAGAAACATACCAGAAGAATTAGTACATCCATGTCATTAGAGTTTAGAAAGTTTTAGTAAGAATGCCAAGAGGTTGGGTGGAAGAAAGGGTGGAATCTGGTGGTGAAGGGCCTTGTGTGCCAGGCTGAGAGGACTAACCTTGGTACAGTAGGCAACAGCAGTTATGCACTGGGAATGTGCAAGTAAGGCAATGCCATCCCAGGATTTACGTCTTTTAAAGGTGACACTGGTGACAGGAGGGCAATATGAAGGGAGCATAGGTGAGTGAAGGAAAATCAGAGGCAAATACACTACTGTGAATAAGACATTACTATGGCTCCACTTGTTGTCTTCAGGGAATGGAGGGATTTCAAGGATCTTACCTTAGACACAGTGTGGTATTGAGTGAAGAAGTCCTAAGTAAATCCAAGTGGTAATTCATGTTCCTCTAGGGAGCCTTCAGGTATGAGGTGTAGCCAAAATCTTTGAAATTCTTACAGCTACAGCAGAGCATTTAATCAAGGCTTAGGAATTCCAGATGACTTCCAGGGTGTGTTTTATGCTACTTTTTCATTTTACTTATTCTATTATAAAAACTCAGGGAGGTTGTAACTGCCATTGAAATTCTGTGGAGCTTTTGGTTAGTTGATACTATGGTCATTAACATAATAGACCAAGACTATTGGGGAAAATTGACTATCACAGTTGATAAAAGTGAATTGTTATATAGACATTTCTGTTTTGTGTAAGTCTTATAAGTAGCCTGAGTGACATTAATTAGCTTCTGGTACTAAGATTACTTCCAGATACAAGGCGTTAATCGTAAACAATCTATTGTGCTTTGAAAAAATTACCTTTTCCATATGAATAATGTGCAAATACTAGAAGGTCAATGGATAAGAGAATGTGAACTTCAGAAACTATTTGTGTGTACCTGTAGATACATTGGTACTAAAGAAAAATGCTTGAAGCGTATGTTAACAGCCAACCTAACATTATTAATTTGTATATATAAACATTACTAGAACACTACTGGGCCACTCCAATGCCAAATTATTTCTTAAGGGCTCCTTTCTAAGGAATTACAAGGGACAACACATATAAGATAATATTAGAGTTTGAAAGGGTTGAAGATAGTCCTCCATTTTTATTTATTTTCATGTGGCAGGCAGTTCCTTGAGAATGATACCTTCAAAAACAAGCGTGATGAAACAAATGATAAATGATAAATGATCACTAAAAAATAAACTTCTTTTATTTTCTTTCAGACACAGCCGCCCGTCTTTCATATCAGAAAAATGCTGGATTTCAAGAATATACCATTCCTATTACTGTAAAAGACAGGGCCGGCCAAGCTGCAACAAAATTATTGAGAGTTAATCTATGTGAGTGTACTCATCCAGCTCAGTGTCGTGTGACTTCAAGGAGCGCAGGAGTAGTACTTGGAAAATGGGCAATCCTCGCAATACTACTGGGTATAGCACTGCTCTTTTGTAAGTATTTTCACTTTCTTGAACTTAAAATATATAATAACAAATCTAGGTGCGGGAAAAGATCTTTAAAAAATAATCTTGTCCAAGCATCCATCAGGTGTGAGTCTCTTTCCAAGTTCCTTTTGTGTTATTACCTGAGTTCTGTTTGAATATTTTCTGTGAAGGGAACATGATCCTTCTTGAGATAAAAGACTTTATGCTTAGATATAATTGTTGAAAATTCCTTAGATTTCGCAGAATCTGACAAACAAATAGCCTTTATTTTTTGGTTCCAGTGCCATTCCTTTTAGGGCTAAGTAGAACAATCTAAAATTTCTGCCTTCGGAAAGTCCACTAAAAACCACTTTCATTCCATATCTTTTTGCCAGTCACACAGTTATGGAAGATGTTCTGTTCTCAGCAGTATCTCTTCTTGGGTATATCTTGCCGATTTTAAATTCTGTTAACCTCCTCCAGCCTAGATTAGCTTTGTTTTGTGGTAAGAGTAGAAGTTAAGTGCAAAAAACTCAGGAATCAGACTGCTTGGGTTTGTACCCGGCTTCATCGCTTGTAAGCCATGTGACCTGGGACAAATTGCTTAACTGTGCTTCAATTTTCTCATCTGTAAAAGGAATAATTGTAGTAGCCTACCATATGGTGTAGCACTGAGTATTAAATAAGGTAATGCATGTGAAGTGCTTAGAACAGTACATAGTAAATTTCTAATGTGTTCATTATTTTTCATCAAGTCAAAAAATAAACATATATCAAATACCTACTGTAGGCAGGAAACCGTTCTAGGTGCTTAGGAAAAATAGAGAAGGTCAAACAAACAAACAAACAAGCAAAAACAATCAATCTGCCTTGTGACAGTTAATGAATAAATTAAATGCTATAGAGGAAAAAAAAGAGAGGCAAATAATTAGGATCTGTAGTGCCATGGAGTGTGTTGGTGAGAGGGGTATTGGTGCCAGTGATTGCAATTTTCAATACAGAGGTCAGACCTGAGAAGATTATTTTTAATGATTTTTGGAAGAGGTGAAAGAGTTAGCCAGGTGGAATGCCTGGGGCAAGAACTTTCAGTCAGAGAGGGAAGTCAATGGAAAGACCCTAATTTGTGATTATGTCTGGAGAAACCAAAGAGTGGCAGGGAAACCAGTGTGGTGAGAGTGGACAAAGGGAAGAGGATTAGGAAATGGAGCCAGAAAGGTAGTGTGGGGCCATGTAGGATAGGCAAGAGTTGTCACACTTTTTCCGTAAAGGACCAGATAGTATATATGTCAAGCTTTGCAGGCCATGTGTTTTCCATTGTATCCAATCAAATCTGTCCCTGAAACAATAACATTGCTATAAAAATATATAAATTATGGGCATTACTGTGTTCCAATAGAACAATACATGTGGACTGTAAAATTTGAATTTCATGTAATTTTCACATTATAAACTCTTATTCTTCTGAATTTTTTCAACCATTTAAAAATACAAAGTCTTAGCTCATAGGCCATACAAAAATATGTAGTGGTCTGAGTTTGGGGATTTTGCCAATGCACTATAGGGTCTTTTAGACTGAAAGAATTGTTGTTGTTATTATTCTTAGTTTAATTATCATGTATTTTCAATCTCCCACAATTATGATTTAGAATAAGAATTCTTAATAGGCAAGATGCAAAGTAGGTTCAATTAAGATAAATCTTTTCTAGGAAAGCAGTCTGTCTTTTTCATGTTTTTTTGTACACAATTCTCTTTTTACATTTTCATGTGGGGAAATTATTTTGGGGGGAATCAGTAAATTTTTTCAAAGTCTTTGTCTTAAATGTTGGCGATTTCTTTTCTTTATGTACTGTTTAACTCATAATTCTAAGTACTTTATTTTGATGGGCAGAATTCAAACAATTAGAGAGAGATAATAAAAAAATACAGATGATTGCTTCTGATTCTAAAATCTAAGCTAGCTGGTGACATGTTAACTTAGAACAGCCAAGATAATTCATGGGAAGCCATGCTTAGTGGCTTTATCTTCTACTTTGATCCTTAGGTCGTAAGAAATAAATGATAATGATTTTATTCTATGTATGCTAAAATAAGTTATTTTATTTTTATTTTTAAATTCAGCTGTATTGCTAACTTTAGTATGTGGAGTTCTGGGTGCAACTAAAGGCAAACGTTTTCCTGAAGATTTAGCACAGCAAAACTTAATTATATCAAACACAGAAGCACCTGGAGATGATAGAGTGGTAAGTAATTTTTAAATAAATATGTATTTGTATCTCTGATAATTTATTTAATTCATCCTCATAAACTCATTTCAGAATTTAGGAGTTAATTTATATTTTTAATTGAATCAGATTTAGTAGGCATAAATATTGTCTGTCAATATGCAAATGTTTGTATAGTGGTAATTTATTAAACTTCTTGATCCAGATGTATTGTTTTTGTTATCTTTTTTGCACTCTAGTGTTATAGTTTCAACTTGTTCTTTGATGGTGAGAATATATTATAACAATAATTTGTTTTGCCTGCACTCTACAATGTATATTTCCAGATATAATTTGTTTATGTAACTTGTTAACCATTTATAATGGGGAAAAAAGCTTGCTAAAAGTTCTCAAGTTCACTAGGAAAGTATCAATGAGATATTTCTAAAAGAAAGGGAGAGGGATTTGGAAGACTACTGCCACTCTTTCCTTATATATTTCTTGGGACTTCTGAGGTGCTTTTATGCTTCTTGTTTTGTGTGAAGTATATATGTATATACAAAAGTACTTACAAGGCATGTTCTCTCCTCAAAAATGTGTCAACTTATTTATGAGAAATAGATCCCACTTTTATGGAAAAGCAAAACAGGAACATGACAATAAACCAATATGATAAAGCACTGTCAGCGTTCAAAAATTCCTGTGATACCTAAGTGTACTCATGTGGTTTGGATCAACCAGAAAGGCTAGTGACAAGAGGTACAGCTTATTTGGTAACTTAAAGAATAAGAAGGGTTTGAAAGTGAAGAGATGGTGAGAATAGCTAAAGGAGAGGAAAACAGCATAACCTATAAGACTTTTACTTAATATTTGTTCTTTGCCATTTAATGTTAGAGCTGATTATATTGAGTGGCCACTTCACAATATTTACCTGTTCTGTGTTAGGAACACTTCTAAAAGGAGCTTGGAAATATTAATTTACACAAAAACATAAAATTTCTTCTTGAATCTATAAACTTGCTTTAATACAATGAGTAAAAGTGATCATTTTAGCTTTGGATCTGAATTTCATTTGAAAGCATGCACATGGGGTTAGGAGTTGGGTGAATAATCAGGGCTGGAGAAGTAAACTTGGAAATTATTGACATGGATAAGGAGTTGTTGATACCCTGTGAGAATGAACTTTGGGAAATGCGGCTGTAGGAGGACAGAAAGGAGCAGAGAATAGAAAATATGAAAGCTGGCTCTGTAGGTTCAGCATTGCTTTAGTTTGTTTTAAATTCCTCTTTTATCCACTTAGAAATATGACATTTGAACTTGTGTTTATTACAACAAAACTGTACCATCAAGAAGATTTAATAATGAGGAGAGCTTTTTTCCTTTTTTGTAATTGAATTTTATTGTAACAGCAACCTAAGTAAAAAAATATAGGGTAGCACTGCCACCAAATGGCTACTTTTCAATTCTTTTTTTCTGGTATTTTTTTCTAAGGCAATATAAATATGACTTTGTAGATATATTTCAGGTTCATTAAATCATCTGCACTTGAAAAATCTTTCAATTTAGTTAAAGACTGCATTTTAAGTAGAAAAATATTTAAATTGATAAGAAGGTGGCACAAAGGAACCTGAATGTAATGGAAGTTCTTGCCCTGAAAGTAATGTGACTGTTTGTAATGAAAACTGACATGTCGAGATTACCACTGTAACTAAACTTCTGTCCTATAGCTCAGAGGGTTGGAGTGAAGTTCCAGTATTAAGTTAATGTTCAATGAAGACATTTTCATTTTAAAGCATTTCCTTGACTCTTTGTCATCCTCTAGTTCCCTCCAAATCTCTCTTTTTCTTTCAAACTGAACTTTTGGAAAGAAAAAACTATATTTGATTTCACTATGATACTACTTCTTGCTTACCCAGCACTCCTTGCAAATTCTTTCGACAAAGGTGATCAATGGCTGTTCTTTCACTTAAATCCAATGGACACTTATACTTTAAGTGAACCCATTCTTACCTTGCTGTGATTTTTCTGTTGTTGTTAACATCATTGGTTGTTGTTAACATCATTGGTTGCTCCCACTCCTTATCATATTCTCTCTTCATGGCTTCAGAATCCTGCCTCTTTGGTTTTCTCTGTTGTCTCAGTGGCTACTCAGATCTGGCCTGTCACAGCTGTCTCTTACTCACCCCTTAAAATGTGATTTTTCTTGTGGTTCTATCCTTAGCCCTTTTTTCTTTTGGTTGACAATTTTCTCGGGATTGGTCCTCTATTCCCATGGCCTCAACTATCACCTATTTGGGAGTGACTCCCAGAATTATATCTCCAGCTCAAAGCTCTCATCTGAGTTCCAAATCCGCATATTCATATATTCATCTTGGACATCCCACATGTTTCTAAAGTTTACCGTATCTAAACTTTAGTTGCTCACTCTCCTCTTGCCCACAAGCACATCTTTCCTCCTGTTTCAGTGAGTTGTACCATCTACCTATTTGCCTTCATGGAGCACACAACCAATCTTATGTGGTAGCTGTTCTCAACTGACTGAAGTTGCGGACCCCTGAAGGACATTGTTTGCCTTTTGCCTCCAGAACCTTCTGCAGTGGTTGCCTTGTTTGTCCCACTCCTCCTAGTCCCTAGTCTCTTAGCTCAGAGTTTTTCCAGTCTATTTCACTTACCCTGTTTGGATTTGAATTTTAATGCTCTACTTTTGTGCTCCTGTAACATTTTGTGCTCACCTACATAGTAGAGTAATTACATTCTTAAAGTATTTGTTTTTCTCTCTCCTTGGAATAAGAGCTTCTTGGCCGGGCGCGGTGGCTCAAGCCTGTAATCCCAGCACTTTGGGAGGTCGAGACGGGCGGATCACGAGGTCAGGAGATCGAGACCAGCCTGGCTAACATGGTGAAACCCCGTCTCTACTAAAAAATACAAAAAAAACTAGCCGGGCGAGGTGGCGGGCGCCTGTAGTCCCAGCTACTCGGGAGGCTGAGGCAGGAGAATGGCGTAAACCCGGGAGGCGGAGCTTGCAGTGAGCTGAGATCCGGCCACTGCACTCCAGCCTGGGCCACAGAGCCAGACTCAGACTCCCTCTCAAAAAAAAAAAAAAAAAAAAAAAAAGCTTCTTGGAGCCATCAGGAGACTATGCCTATCTTTATATCCCTAGGGTTTTGCATTTGCTATGGGTGACATTTGTCCCTAAAAGCTGATGTGTTGGAAACTTAATCCCCAATGCAACAGTGTTGAGAGGTGAGACCTTTAGCAGGTGATTAGATCATGAGGGCTCTGCTCTTACAAATGGATTACTGTCCTTATCATGGGAATGGGTTTATTATCATGAAAGCTTATTGTAAAACAAGTTCAGTCCCCTGTTGCTCCTCTTTCTCTCTCCCTCTCCCTCTCACTCTTGCTCTTTTGCCTTTCCACATTCTGCCATGGGATGGGCCCTCGCCTAATGTGAACTCCTTGATCTTGGCCTTCCCAGACTTCATAACTGTAAGAAATAAACCTCTGTTCTTTAAAAATTACCCAGTCTCAGGTATTCTGTTATAGCGGCACAAAATGAATGAAGACAGCAGCTGGGCACATAATTAGAAACTGATAAATGTCTGCTGAATGAATGAATGAATAAAAAGGTTGAATAAATGTCCTCTCTCCTTTGCCTTCTCATGACAACTTAGAATCCATTTCCTCTCAACATGAATTATTTTATTTTATTATTTCAGTGCTCTGCCAATGGATTTATGACCCAGACTGCCAACAACTCTAGCCAAGGTTTTTGTGGCACCGTGGGATCAGGAATGAAAAATGGAGGACAGGAAACCATTGAAATGATGAAAGGAGGAAACCAGACCTTGGAATCCTGCCGGGGGGCTGGGCACCATCACACCCTGGACTCCTGCAGGGGAGGACACACGGAGGTGGACAACTGCAGATACACCTACTCGGAGTGGCACAGTTTCACTCAGCCCCGTCTCGGTGAAGTGAGTTTCCTTAGGTGTTTTGACTCTAAAATTTAAACTTCTGAATGGAGAAGAGTAAAAAATTCAAATTAACGTATATTTTCAGAAACTGCTTTTCTGTATTTTTCTGTGGGCCCTCTCTTGCTTGCTCTGTTCATTTTCCTGTGCTCTTTGATTTTGTTACATTAATTTAAAAGAGATTTTATTTCACTTGTCATATTTCACTTAATTTATAAAATCCCATAAATATTGGAGATTTTTAACATTCTTCACTAAGATCTCACTTTTAGTTGTGTGTTTACCTCATGAACCCTTTTGATATAGAAGAATGTGAAAGCAATTCTACTTCCTCACAATGACAAACTTTTCAAACGAAATCTGTATTTCTCTGTGAAAACACAAACGTTTGAATGCAGTTTTAGGATAAAGATTAAATAGCATGATTTACATATTTTTTATTTTACTGCAAATTGACAAAATATAATTGAATGTGTTTATGGGGCACAAAGTGATATTATGATTTATGTCTGCAATGTAGAATGACTAAATCACACTTAACATACGCATCACCTCAAATACTTATTTTTTTGTGGTGAGAACATTTGAAATGTACTTTCTTTGCAATTTTGAAATATACAATATACTATTATTAACTATCATCACCATTGCAGGACATGTTTTAAATATACAAAGCACCATGCAAATGTAAAGTGCTTTTATTCTAAGGAAAGCAAGAATGTGAAAGAAAGAAGGAATTAAAATAAAGAATTCTCTGTTCATACCAAAATCCCCTATGAAGTGGAAGCTTTTTTCTTTCTTTTCTTTATTTCTCTTTTTTTTTTTTTCCCTAAAAAAAAAGACAGGGTCTTGCTCTGTCGCTGAGGCTGGAGTTCGGGGGTGCAATCTCCGCTCACTGCAGCCTTGACTTCCTGGGCTCAGGTGATCTTCCTATGTCAGACCCCTGAGTAGCTTGGACTACAGGTGTATACCACCACACCTGGCTAAATTTTGCATGTTTTGTGGAGAGGGGGTTTTGCCATGCTGCCCAGGTTGGTCTCCAATTCCCAGTCTCAAGTGATCCACCCACCTTGGCCTCCCAAAGTGCTGGGATTATAGGCATGAGCCACTGGGTCTGGCAAAATCCGCTATGAAGCTTTTAAAATATACTGATGTCTGTGTTCTACTCTAAGAGATTCCTATTTAATGAATTTGGGCTTTCTTGTTTGTTTTGTTTTTGTTTTACATTTCTGAGATGATTCAAATGTGCAGCTAGATAGAAAGCCACTGGATTAGACACTCTTCTGAACTAAATTTTTACCTCTTTTATCAGAGGATACCAGTGCCATTGCAGGACAAACAGTGGACCTTTCATCCTTGGATGGAATGCAAATGGATGATACTCTGGTATAGGGCTGTAGGTTATGTATCCATAGCATTTTGGAGGGTCAAATTCAAGTGTTAATTCTTTTTCTACTTCTAGACAGTCAGTGTTCATGTAAGATCAGGTTGAGATGGAGTGAAGCTTAAGACATAGTCTTAGGAGGGTTCCTCAATTGCACACCAGGTAATGGGAGGTAAGGCTAACAACGTCATGAAGAAAGAACGTAAGTCATGCCAATGAGCTCCACATAGGCGAGGAGTGGGCGCCCAGGTGAGGAAAAGGAGGAGACATGGCAGTTGATGAGGTGGCAGACAGGCCAGTGGCAGACAGGGTAGATGTGGCTGAATGCATGGCGTCTTTATTACAAAAGCCCCGTTTTTGCAATATGGGTTATGTTCATTCTTTTTAATTTCATTGAACTTTTCAGTGCATATATATGTTTTGCCATGTTTTGGGTATCTTGGAAACTTGATTCTGAAGTTAAATTGGTAAATCCTACCTACTTTATAACTGCATATAATAGTGATTCTAGTTAAAATGTATTTTACATTTAATATGTGCTAGGCATAATATGTGTATTATGCATTATTATTTTGTCATTAATTTCTAAAATAATCTCATTAGGTGGTCACTGAGACTAAAGGATATTTGGTGACTTGTCCAAAATCATATAGCTAGTTGGTAAAGCTAGAGCTTTGACTCACAACCAAGATTGTTTGGCATCCAATCTCAAACTCCCAAACAGTATGACTATTATCTCTATTTTTTGGACTAACCTGACCTCTGTGTATAAAATTTAGAGATAAGCGTTTAATGATAACTTGAATGTATTTAAATATAACACTTGTATATATAATTTTTTACTTATGTGGATTATTAGAAATGTAAACTATACTGACTTTATGGTATGGTTGTAATATAGACCAATCATGTGCATTTTTTGTGTGTAGGAATCCATTAGAGGACACACTGGTTAAAAATTAAACATAAAAGGTAAATAAAAATAAATTTTATGTTCATATATTTAAGTTGTTTAAAACTATAATACAATTCATTTTTTTAAAAATTTTACAGAAATTGCATCGATGTAATCAGAATGAAGACCACATGCCATCCCAAGATTATGTCCTTACTTATAACTACGAGGGAAGAGGATCTCCAGCTGGTTCTGTGGGCTGCTGCAGTGAAAAACAGGAAGAAGACGGCCTTGACTTTTTAAATAATTTGGAACCCAAATTTATTACATTAGCAGAAGCATGCACAAAGAGATAATGTCACAGTGCTACAATTAGGTCTTTGCCAGACATTCTGGAGTTTTCCAAAAATAATATTGTAAAGTTCGATTTCAACATGTATGTATATGATGACTTTTTTTTTTCTCAATTTTGAATTATACTACTCACCAATTTATATTTTTTAAGCATGTTGTTGCTTATCTTTTCCAAAAAGTGAAAAATGTTAAAACAGACAACTAGTAAATCTCAAGCTGCAGCATTGGAATTAAGGTCTCTAAAGCATCTGCTCTTCTTTTTTTTTTTTTTTTTTTTACAGATATTTTAGTAATAAATATGTTGGATAAATATTAGTCCAACAATAGCTAAGTTATGCTAATATCACATTATTATATATTCACTTTGAGTGATAGTTTAAAAAATAAACAAGAAATATTGAGTATTACTATGTGAAGAAAAATTTGGAAAAGAAACACTGAAGACTGAATTAACTTAAATGTTGCAGCTCATAAAGAATAGGGACTCACCTCTACTGCACTACCAAATTCATTTGACTTTGGAGGCAAAATTTGTTGAAGTGCCCCATGAAGTAGCAATTTTCCATAGGAATATAGTTGGAAAAAAATGTGTGTACATATATTATTATTAATCAATGCAACATTTAAAATGAAAACAAAGAGGAAAATTGTAAAAACTTGAAATGAGGCTGGGGTATAGTTTGTCCTACAATAGAAAAAAGAGAGAGCTTCTTAGGCCTAGCTCTTAAATGCTGCATTATAACTGAGTCTATCAGGAAATAGTTCCTGTCCAATTTGTGTAATTTGTTTAAAATTGTAAACAAATTAAACTTTTCTGGTTTCTGTGGAAAGGAAAGAGGGAACCCGATGGAACAGTAGGTTTGCTTTGCAGTCTGTTTCAAGATTTCTGTATCCACAAGTTGGTAGCAAACTTGGGAATACTCGCTGTAGCTAGGGTTCCCTGTTTTTTGGTAGCAAGGGTCCAGAGATGAGGTGTTTCTTTGGGGAGCTAATAACAAAAACATTTTAAAACTTACCTTTACTGAAGTTAAATCCTCTATTGCTGTTTCTGTTCTCTCTTATATTGACCAACATCTTTTTAATTTAGAACCAAATAGCCATGTGCTCCCGGAGTATAGAGGCTAGAGGGAGCTGAGGGGTGGATCTCACTGAAAGCACCCTGGGGAGATTGACTGTCCTTAGGCCTAAGCCCCACAAACTTGACACCTGATCAGGGCCTGAGAGCTACAAAATTTCATTTTTCTCCTTACCACCCTTCTTCTGAGTGGTATTGGCGTGAATCAAGGAAAGCCAGGCCTCGTGGGCCCCCTTCTTTCAGCTTTCTGCTAACATTGTCAGCAACGCCTCCAGCAGAGATTCCCTTAAGTGACAAATACTCCAGGTTTTCCACCATCCTTCAGTGTGAATTAATTTTTAATCAGTTTGCTTTCTCCAGAGAAATTTTAAAATAATAGAAGAAATAGAAACTTTGAATGTATAAAAGGAAAAGATCAAGTTGTCATTTTAGAACAGAGGGAACTTTAGGAGAAAGCAGCCTAAGTAAGGCATTTGGAAGTCAGAGGGCAACATGAAGACGCAGGCCTTCTAGGGCAATGAGAGGACACAAGGACTATGGGTGAGAGTAAAGGCAACATAATCTACTTCATACTTTTTCCTAGGCTTGGCACTGCCTTTTCCTTTCCCAGGCTAATGGCAACTGCCATTTGAGTCTGCTGAGGGATCAGCCAACCTCTTCTCTATGGCTAACCTTATTTGGAGTGAGAAATCCAGGAGACAGAGCTGACTGAATGATGAGTAGGCTTGGCACTGCCTTTTCCTTTCCCAGGCCAATGGCAACTGCCATTTGAGTCCGCTAAGGGATCAGCCAACCTCTTCTCTATGGCTAACCTTATTTGGAGTGAGAAATCAAGGAGACAGAGCTGACTGAATGATGAGTCTGAAGGCATTTGCAGGATGAGCCTGAACTGGTTGTGCAGAACAAACAAGGCATTCATGGGAATTGCTGTATTCCTTCTGTAGCCCTCCCTCTGGGCACTAAGAAGGTCTATGAATTAAATGGGTATCTAAAATTCTGATTTATTCCTACATTTTTTGTTTTCTAATTTGACCCTGAAATATATGTGTTTTAGATTTACACTTTTTATTTTCCTTTTTTTTTTTTTTTTTGAGACGGAGTCTCGCTCTGTCGCCCAGGCTGGAGTGCAGTGGCAGCGATCTCGGCTCACCGCCTCCCGGTTCACGCCATTCTCCTGCCTCAGCCTCCCGAGTAGCTGGGACTACAGGCGCCCGCCACCACACCCAGCTAATTTTTTGTATTTTTAGTAGAGACGGGGTTTCACCGTGTTAGCCAGGATGGTCTCCATCTCCTGACCTCGTGATCCGCCCACCTCGGCCTCCCAAAGTGCTGGGATTACAGGCGTGAGCCGCCGCGCTTGGCCTTATTTTCCGTTTAAAGTTTTCTTATTTTAATGTAATCATTTTGAACATGTGTGAAAGTTGATCATACGAATTGGATCAATCTTGAAATAACCAAAAGACAGTAGAGAAGCCAGGGGGAGAAAACTCAGGGCACAAAATATTGCTCTGAGAATGGAGTTCTCTGCAAGCCTCGTTGATGAAATTGTCTACTGTAACCAGAAGCCAGTTTTATCTAATGGCTACTGAAACACCCACTGTGGTTTGCACACTCCCTCACTCGCCAATCAAAACGTGCCACCTCCCCAAGACCTTACAAGTGCCGACAAACTTTCTCTAAGAGCAACCAGTATCACTTCCCTGTTTATAAAACCTCTAACCTTCTCTTTGTTCTTTGAACATGCTGAAAACCACCTGGTCTGCACGTATGCCCTAATTTGCAATTCTTTCATCTCAAATGAAAATTTAATTTCAGGGATTCATTTCTATGTTTTATTTGACTTTCTCATATGTAGTATTATTATTTCCTTATATGTGTAAAATGAAATTTATGGTATTTGAGTGTGCAAGAAAATATATTTTTAAAGCTTTCATTTCTCCCCCAGTGAATGATTTGGAATCTTTATGTTAATGTACAGATTTTTTTTTCTTATTTTTATAAGGAAGCAGCTGTCTAAAATGCAGTGGGGTTTGTTTTGCAACGTTTTAAACAGAGCTTTAATACTGCTGTTAAAAGAAGTTCCTTTGCTTTTAAAGAAACGTGGCTGCTTAAAATAAGCAGAAATTGGATGTGTAAAGTAATATTTACAGATATGGGGGGATGTAATAAAACAACATTAACTTGGTTTCTTGTTTTTGCTGTATTTAGAGATTAAATAATTCTAAGATGATCACATTGCAAAATTGTGCTTATGGCTGGCATGGAAATAGAAATACTCAGTTATGTCTTTGTTGTACTAATGGGGAATATTTTGGACAATGGGTCATTATCAAATTGTCGGGATCATTAATATATATTGTAATGTTGGGAAGAGATCACTATTTTGAAGCACAACTCTACAAATGAGTATCTATGTATACATATGTATAATACACTTTGATTGGGTATTAAAAGTATTAGAAGGTGGTTATATAATTGCAGAGTATTCCATGAATAGTACACTGACACAGGGGTTTTACTTTGAGGAGCAGTGTAGTCAAGGGAAAACATGAGTTAAAAAGAAAAGCAGCAATATTGCAGTCTTGATTCTGCCACTTACAGGATAGATAACGCCTGAACTTTAATCACAAGATGATCCAACCATAAAGGTGCTCTGTGCTTCACAGTGAATCTTTTCCCAATGCAGGAGTGTGCTCCCCCACAAGTGTAAGACTGATCATTTCAAAAATGTATTAGTTATATCAAAAGCCTTAAATTTTAATATAGGTTGAACCAAAATTTCAATTCCAGTAACTTCTATTGTAACCATTATTTTTGTGTATGGCTTCAAGAATGTTCATTGGATTTTTGTTTGTAATAGCAAAATACTGGATAAATTTCATGTGTCCCTCAGTATTGATTTGGTTGAATATTGGGTCATAATGGTTGAGAAGCATGGACGCTAGAGCCAGAATGCTTGGATATGAATCCCAGGTCTGTCACTTACTTTCTGTGTGACCTTTGAAAGGCTACTTATTTCTTCTCTTAGCTTTCTCATTAAAATCAATGAACAATGCCAGCCTCATGGGGTCGTTGGATGATTAAATTAGTTAATATACTTAAAGTACATAGAACCCTGCCTGCACATAGTAAAATAATTACAAGTGTGAGGTAGTTGGAAAAATTATGTAGTTGGATATACTACCGAACAATATCTAATCTCTTTTTAGGGAAATAAAGTTTGTGCATATATACACATATACATATATATACACACACACATATATACACATATACACATATATATGTGTGTGTGTGTGTGTATATATATATATAAAATCTCAAAACATGATTTCCAGACAATGGAATTGATAATTTATTCTTTCTGTATTGATTTTTTCACAATGAACACTGATAACACTTATTTTATTTTAAGTTCCAGGATACATGTGCAGGATGTGCAGGTTTGTAAGATAGGTAAATGTGTCCCATGGTAGTTTGCTGCACCTATCAACCCAATAGCATTTTTAATTTAAGAAAAAGGTTAATACTAGACTAGACAGTTTCTTTTGGCTCTTATATTATTTAGAATTAGGCTCAGTTTCATGGACAGAAAAATTAAATAGTATTCAGAATATGTTTACAGGCTTCTCTATTCGACAGATTATTTTGATTGCAAGTGTTTGAATCTCAGAACCTTCTTTTCTCTTTACTTAAAAAAAGTGATAAAATTAATAAAACATGGTTATGAGTGGTTAAAATTCATCATTTTCACCATTTTAAAGTGTATAATTCAGTGACTTTAGTACATTTGAAATGTTGTGCAACTGTTACCAATATCTAGTTCTGGAACATTTTCATCACCCCAAGAGGAAACCTTTTAAGCCGTTATTCCCCTCTTCCCCTCCCTGTATTATTCCCTGACAATCACTAATATCTTTTCTGTCTCTATGGATTTGCCTATTCTGGACATTCATATAAATGAAATCATACATATGTGGCTTTGTGTGTCTGGTTTCTTTCACTGAAATGAGGACGTTTCATGCATCTCTTTACTTGGGAATGAAATCCTAAAATATCTTAAAGGGCTTGTTCAGGCTTTTCTCAGGGACAAATATGATTATCAGTCTTCTCTCAAATTCAAAATGCATATTTTTAAAAGGAACGTCAAATGAGATAAAGCAAAAATCGATCTGACAATAAGTATAACAGCATGTACAAGTATTTGTTATTTGTGCAAGTATCATATCTTCTTGGCAAAAATTTTCAGCTATAAAAATTGGTTAGCATAAATGGTCACAAAGAAAACTGACAATGCAAATACTATAAATGGTTTAATTTTATATAAGGGGCCAATCAATCAAATGATTCAATTTTTACTGTAAAATGTAAGCAGAAAATAATTCCTATTCAAATAATTTTAATGAAATAATTTAAAAAATTAGTTTAACTTTGCTTTGGAAAAATTAAAATTGTTTAATTTTATTTAAGCTTAAAATACCTTATGGATAAAAATTTATAAATCCAGGCATAATTCTGATTATGATATCTATACTCAAAAGGGTAAAACCTTCTAAAAAGTTGAAACTTGAGTTGAAAATCTGCTGTTGTTCAGATCTGAACTATCTAAATGGATCCATCTTTCTGTCAACGTGCTCTATACGTTAGTCAACACGCTGTCTAAAATAGAATCCATTCTGGAGGGTAATGTCTGCTGAAAATAACATGCTACATTCCTGTGCCAGAACGCGTTCTGTGTAACACCACTGAACATCTTTAGGGAGTCCTTGCCTAGACTTTTTACATTCATGACTGAGAGTGGCTTGCACTAAAATACTAGCCTCTGCTCTAAAATAAGTTCACCAAAAAAGTAGCAGCATCAAATCTACTTAGAAATGATCACATTTGCCTCTATGTAAAATAATCTTTCTCCCAGACTGTGCTTTACTGAATCTCAAGACCCTCCCCCCAACCCCCACCCCCTGCCCCAGCAGCTTCTGTCCCTCTCTGTGGGCTGCCCAACATTTTACCTTCCAGAGAACAGAGAGACGACAGGATTTAGTATGGGCAGTGGGGTAGACCTGGGAAGATGGGGAAGAAATTAGTTTTCTCCTGAAAAGCATGAGATTATAATACACACAAATATTCTGTAACACTTTTTTTTTTTTTTTTTTTCCTTTTCTGGTGTTTGATTTGTTCTTATTGCCCAGCTCCTATCCCATTTAAGCAACTATGCCTCTCAGTGCTTGTTAGCTACTATGTAAGTAAACCGTAAAATTAACGTGGAAATTCCTGGTCTGAAGCTCCCAGGTGACTCTGACCAGGGTAAGTGCTGCCTCAGTGACCACCGGTGTAAGTTTATGACCAAACACCAGATGCCGTCCTTACCCAGAACTCTTATTACCCCATAGGAGTAAGCAAAATTTACACTCAGTCTCAGAAACATCGGGGTGAAAATAAAATCCCAGAAGACTGAGATTTATCTCTACTACTTTGATTCTGTTAGGACTCTAAATAGAAATTGACCAATAGAAAAATAAAGGAAGCTAAATTTCTGGAACATATGAGAAGTGAACTGAGATTCTTACCCACTAGTCAAACAAGAGAACAACTGGAAATGAATGACAGAGAGGCAGAAACATTTCCTTTCAGATAAACTGGTTTGCACTTTTCGTTGTTTTTCTTTTGGACTTGGGTGGGTTACGTAAGTTCCATGTGAGTCCTCCAGGTGGGAGAGCCTTGTTGTTCTGCCTTTGCCTCTGGGCACCAGTGTGCATAGCTCCTTTTCAAGTGTCTACAGGAAAGTGGGGGACACACCCTTCAGTGACTCAGACCTCTCCCACGCCCATGAACAAACAGGAATAGACACATGGGGCTGAACAGACACATTGACAGTGCCAGGACTGTTGTTACTAAAGACGATTTCAAAGAGAAAACGGTCTTCAGAAACCAATTTGAAGAAAGCTACAGCTGCAACTTACCCGTTCAAGAATATGCCTCTGCCTCCCATGCCCAATGCAACCATAGTGGGAGGAGCATACGCACTGTGAACGCTATAAACCAGTGTTTTTTATTGGTTCAAACTAATAGATGCAATATGATTCCACAAGGAATCTGAGTATTTTGCTACTGAATTCTCATGTGATTTATATTGATTTTATTGTTTTATTTTCCAGATACCTTAAGGTAAATGTGTGTTGTGCAATACAAATGTATAATTTATTTTATTAAAAGATAGATTTTAGTTTTAACCTTAATAGATTCACTCCCTGTACATATGTAATCTGATTCTATACAAATTGCATTACCCGTTATAGAATTGTGTTGTGACATTAAAATTATGGCTCATAGACTTTTCAAGTTTCTGTGACATAATGTGATGTGTTCCAAGCTAAAGAAGACTTTCCCAGAAATTTCTAATACGTTATGATCTCTCAGTTTTTTTTTTTTTTCTTAATGTGAATCATCACAGACACCTTAAAGCAGATATATATTATATAAGTTTATTTGGGGAAAGATAAAAAAAGGTCTTAAGCATATATGGCATAGAAAGAGAAAACAAAAGTAGAGAAGAAAGAAGTGACATGAATTTTCTTAGAATCATATTGGTTTAGTCACATTTTTATTCTGTGGTTCTACCTTAGTGAAGCGGGATATCTCTGATCCACAAAGCGATGTCTCAGAGTAGTGTAACATGAATACCTTTCTCAGTGTAACCTTGAAATGCTGTATTCTTCAAAAGAAAGCCAGTCACCTCATGCTCTTGATCCAGAAAGATCACATATAATTTAGAAGGAATTAGATTGTATTTATGTATTAACTTAGACTACAAATCACATCATCAATCACAAATTCTGATGTGGAAAATATGCCTTTATTTTTTCATAACTTTTGTCTTTATCTTGACTTCCTCCCCATTTAGGCAGGTGGCAAGAGTGAAATAAAAATACAATTTTATTAGGTTAAAATTAGGATTCTCCTCATTCTTCTATCCACAGATTGTGTCTGAATTTCAAGGATTATATGCCCCTTCAACTAATTGGAAATCAGAGTGAAGGATTTCTGCTCTTGAGATCTTCAGATGGAGGACTTGTCACATTTTTTAAAATGCTATTTTATACTAGTACTTCAAAAAGTTGTGACTTTTGAATCTAACCAATCTTTCTCACCAGATTTTCCTGGTAATTCAATGAAACAAATTATGTCAGTGATCTGGAGTAATTTCCTATCTCCAGTCTCTACATCAACATGCATACCAAACATATTAACAACAGAATCAGATTATTGTCTTGATAGATGAGGACAAGGCAACAAAAGAACAATGATCCAAAGAGAAGAACAACACATAAACACACATGCACACACACACACTCACACACACACGCACACACAGAGACACATGCATACATGTGCGCACACACACACACAGACACACACAGACACACGCACACAGATGCACACATACAGGTGCACACACGCACGCACGCACACAGACATGCACACACACACAGACGCGCACACACGCACACGCACACACATGGACACACGCAGACACACACATGCACACATATGCACACACACAGGCACACACATGCAGACTCATGTACACATGCACACACACACAGACGCACACACACGCACACACATGGACACACGCAGACACACACATGCACACATATGCACACACAGGCACACACATGCAGACTCATGCACACATGCGCACACACAGACACATGCACACATGCACACACATGCACACACACACATACACACACACAAAATATAAACCAAGTTTGAGTGCAAGTTATGTTCTAAACAGATACAATAGCTGTTTGGCTCATCATGAGAAAAATGTTTAGCTTTCCAAGTGACCTGGGTAAGCGACTTAGTTTCTC